TTTTATCTTCTGTATTTTTTAACCACAGTAAAAAATGCTTTCCACATAAATCTATTTTTATTTGCTAGGGCAAAATTATTAGAAAGTGAAGCAGTGAACGAGAACCTTCGGAAAAACTTGACAAGAGCCGCAGCAAGATCGCCGTATTTCGGCGGATCATCCACTTTCTCTCCTACTATACTATCCTCGGACAAAGAAACCATCGAAATTATAGATTTAGCCAAGAAAGATTTAGAGAAGCTGAAGAGGAAAGAAAAGAAGAAGAAAAAAAGGTAGTATTATAAAATCACTGCTGTATGAATTCCTACTTTTTCTTTTCAGGGATTTTAATTTGCAATTACAGTGAGTATACATAGTCACATGAAGTATGGTAATACATGAAGTAAATCAGCAGACAGTTGCAGCTATATACTTTAGTGACTTGTCTCTACTTATATGTGAGAAAAATAAGCTTACTTGTAATAACATGGTAATAAGTTTTATTTAGACCATACAAGGAGAAATTACTATTAGAGATTATTTCTTCCCATAGCTGCTTTTGCATTCCATTCATCTCGCTTTTCCGCAAAGCTTGCTGTACCGTTACAACTCAATGTTTTCATCCCTCCCCCACCACCATGTTCTAATGCAACCAAGTAGTCTCATGGATATTCTAATTCCTGTCTAGATTAGTTTAACTAAAGGCTAAACTAATCCATCACAATGTCATTTAATGTCATCTGGCCTATTAAGTATTTTTCTGCAGGGCTTCTAATTTGATTACATGAAAGTTATTCATGCTATTTCAAGCTTTCTTAATCTTACAACAAGGAGTTACTCGGCTTTTCACCACTGTTCTAGTCTTTCACTTCCTTGCATCCCCCTGAAATCAACTGGATGCAAAGAAGAAAGAGGAAGAAAATAAAAATTTGACCACTTGTCATGTGTGAGTGTTAAATTTTTGCAAATTCTCTACGTATTTACACTTGAGTCTGTGGTGCAGTCAAATTCAGATTACTTACTGAGAACATGCTTTGATCATGCCAGTCAAACGAAGTTTAAGCATTTTTGGCTAGATATTCAAAAAAAGACAAAGCCATCTTATTTGCCATGTGGTTTGTTACAGGGTTAATACCTTGTACATTAAGTCTACCTGTTGCTTTGTTCAGCTTATTTAGAAATTTATTTGGGCAGCCAGGCATTTCTTTCTTGAACAGTCAGTAGATCAAAGTCCAAGGTAGTTTAAGTTGTTTACATCAACCCTGCTTTGTGTTCCTGAGTTTAAAAAAGAATAATTAAAATAATTTAAAAAAGGAACTACACATTTATGGTTTGGAGGCATTGTAAATAAAATTGCATTTTTGAGATATTAATGTCTTAATAAATGTTCTTCATGGATGACTGATTACGGCAGCATTAAGAAATGTATAATGATTAGCTCTCCCTTACTGAGGGCAATTAAAACTAAAATAATGATCACAGGATAATTAAAACTAGTGTTACCCCCATGTACTGCTTGAGTGAACATGAGACTTTTGCACATGACTTATCATTTACTTGTAAAATCCAATTCTGTAGCTGGTCAAAGTGTCAAATGGTGTGACTTGTTTTTAAAGGTGTAGGTGGTTTGTATTCATGAATAATAAGGAAGTATAAGTCAGGGTTATTTTTCAAGGTCATAAACTGATTCTGTTCTTTTCTTTTGAAATGAGTCTGGGGATTTTGCCCTAATTACCTGTTGAATGTGAATAATGAAAAATAAATAGGTATCCAGTAGAAATCTAGGCTGTTTTTGATATTTTTATAGTAGCGATAGGCATCTCAAATTAATACTTCCTATTCAGGTTATTTTTGTGATACAGTACAGCAATCAGCACTTCTGATTGATTAAAAAGTGCTAAAGGAAAAATGCTTTGTTGTTTAGACTTTTTTCTTGTTCCTTTACTATAGGACACCTATCCATGTAAGGTAATTAAAAAAAAAAAAACAGCAGTTATTTCAAAATGAAAAATTATGACTAATTCAGTGATTATGGTACGTGCATAGTTGTCATAATTAAGCTAAAAATAACTGTATATGTTAGTACTAATTCATAAGAACTCACCAAACAACTGGATTTAAACATAAAAGTTTAAGTGAAGAAAATAAATTGTTTCCTGACCAAAAAGAAATAAAATGTTTGTGAGAAAAAGGACAATCTAGATAAGAAGTGAAAGATAACATAGAAAGAGAAAAACAAATTGATACTTACTAAAAATTCATACTTGCACAGAGTGCTTTACAAAAAGAGATTTAAAGCCTTTTCATGTGCATGCTATAGTGTATCTCCTATAACTGAACACCTACATAATCTGTGAAACTAGAAAATATTTTTGTGTGCTATGAACAAAATGGAACTATGAAAGTCTTTAAAGCCAGTTTATGAATTTATCCTACAACGTATCACATTTATAGAATTTAATAGAATTTATCTTGCCACACTATAATCTAATGTTGCTTCAGATTAACAAATGGAAACCAAGCCTATTTTAAAGCATTTCATCATCACATTTAGAACTCAATAACTTTTAGTGGTCTATAGCATAAATTCCTATTTTAAAAATGTAGATAAGCTTTCATTCTAGCCAAAGGATTGGCTACATTTTGAAACAAACAATAAATGTGGAGTTCCAGAAATACTTGGAAGGACAGCAGCTTTAGTCTCCCATGGGGGTCCCTTGGAGATGACACTCCCGTTTGGAGGTGTTGATTCTGGTTCAGTTGCATGACACGCTCCATTTTATCTATCAGAGAGGGCGTTGCAAAATTTAGGTTCTGTCCTCAACTTTGCATATACAGTAAGGTCAATGAAACATTACTTGCTTGGAACCTTGAACTAATTTGTCTGTAGCAAATGTTTTGAACACATGATGTCCAGATTTCCAGGCTCACTCACAGAACATGACTTTTCCTCCTTTCATAGTGTGGTAAGAACAATTCAGAAAAGACAAAAAAGGGGAAAGAACCCTTTCCTTCTCATGTGTGAGGGCCAGTCTTTGTGGGAAAGAAATGAATTTATGCTTTAACTATTCATTCTTCCTGACCTCCTTCCTTTGTCCCAGCGCTGTCGGGATCCCTTCCTCCCTAATGCAGTCTGGTGTTAAGGTACTTTTGCCCAACCATAAAATGCCCCTAATTGTAAAATTATCTACTTTCTTCTTTTATGTCCTTAAATCTAAACTCAGGAGCAAAGCCATCTAACTGAAGGAACTCATACCAGTAGGAATGACTGACGGCCTTAAGCCTCCTTCCTAGGGATGCTTGTAATTTTGAAAGAGGATTCATTAATCCAAACAGTGAAATTTTAGGCAACGTCATCTAATGGAAAAAAAAAAGTCAAGCAGGGTAGGAAAGAGTTTTTCTTTACCTTCATGTGGCTGATTATTTCTAGAACCTGGGGTCGTTTGACCTGTGGTTTCAGCCCTCCTCCACTGTCCTGGCTTTCACAGCTGCTTCCTTTCCTCCCCACTGGACTCTAAAATCCATTAGAAGATCTACATCTCTTAATTTACTTTGTGTTGTTCATTTCTTGATTGTAGTGGCTACAGGGCCTCTGACAGTGTAAGAGTTGGTAGGAGAGTCACAGTTGGGTCACTTTTATGTTGGATTTGTATTCAGGGAGGATGCCACAAATCTCATTTTACTTGAAAGTTTTACCCTCTCCTACATCAAAATTGTTTATCAGAACTATAGCCAATAACTAATATGTGGGGTTTTAAGTTTGCTCTTCTATCTTTTTAAAATTATTTTCTGCAGAGGTGTAAAATACTTCAAAGATGTAGATAGTAAGAAAATAGGGGAGCATTATGGATCACAGATGCCCTATTAACTGGGTTAAGTGCCTCCAAATAATTGAATAAACTATGTTGCCTGTCTTTCAGTTTTACAAATGTTAGAACGGTTGGCAACATGTTATTAATTCTCTCTCTCTCTCTCTTTCTCATACAAGCGTTGTAGGGGAAATAAATGAAATAAAAACTGACTTCTGTAAGTTACAAAGACGTATCTGATTGTTAGTTTACTTCTCTATTCCTCCTTTGCCCTTCTGGACCATTGATTACAATGTTTTTTATATGGCAATTGGGAGGGCATCTAATGTTTATCTACTTAGTAGCACATGTTAACTATGCATTTTAATATAGCTCCTGTACAAGGCAAACAAAAATTGTTTGTATTGAAATTAGAAAATTTAGGCTCTTCAACAAGGAACCATATCCTCTGAGCCATTTTAGCTTGTTATTATTAGTATATGCCTATGTTAGGGATAAATTTTTTTTTTGCATTTTTTTATGTCTATGGGTAAAGAAAATTTACTACTCACAATGAAGTCCCAAATTTTGGATATCTAGCTTTAAATGACTTGTAAAAAATAAAAAACAACGAAACTTCCTCATCCATCAGACTGCACGGTATTGGTTCTTAGTGGTGTTGGGTTGAAACTCTAGAAACGTACAGATTTCTGAGGCAGTGGCTTCACTTTCCTTTTTCTCATCATTGTACCGCACCATTGGATCCCTGCTGAATGTCATCCTACAGACTTTCTTCTCAGAAAGATCGCCAGTCTTATTTTGTAATAGCAGCATATACATTGATTGTGGAAAACGATCACAGACCAAAATACGAAAATCACATGTCATAAAACTAGAATGAGAGGAGCTGGCTTGATGAAGTAATTCATGCCTCTGGCTCATTTTCTTTACTTTAAAACATCGATGATTCTGAAAAGTATTTTTGGAATTCTGGGCAGCAGTGTGCTATGTCAAGATTGTCATGTGGTTAATGGAGCCTAGCACATCTGTCTTCTGTCTACATGACAAATATTGGTATATAGTACATTTCCATTGAGTAAAGATCCTCATGTTTGTATGTTGAATATTTAAAAAATTATACATTTGAAAGCCTTTAGCTACCTGTTTATGGTATTTCTTACATGTTTCTGTTTAAAAATCTTACTAATGGGAAGTACTACATCCCTCACCCCTCCCACTTTTGCTTTAGATATGCCTGCTTGGTAGTTAGTTTATGATAATTAATCTTTAATCCCAGTATTAGGAGATTTTATTTCCAATTAATAAAATTATAGTTTTCCATTGATACCATAACAACCATATTAATTTGCCTATAATACCATTTCATATAAGATTCTGAATTTTTTTTTTAGATTTAGTGATGTTCATATGTAGTATATTAAAACCAAAAACAAGTTTTTAAAAGTAGTATCCTAGTATATATATATTAGTGTTATTTCCATGATATGGTATGAAGGCATTACTTTGCAAAGTTTCTTAATGATGCCATAAATGTGTTTTCTGTAAAGGTTAAAAAGGAAAAGGGTTATCATTGAAAGTGAGCTCTTTTTGTGGGGGGGGGGAGGAAAGCTGAGGAAATCGATCCATTTCCAACTAAAAAAAAAGCAATGGCATCCAAGCACTTCATATACTCATCAGATTATATAAATTGAGACTACATGCTACTGCTGAGTAATTTCAACCGATAGTCTATATAGTCTTCTGAAATATAATGCTGCTTGATTTTCTACTTACTTTTTATTCATACAAAATGTATTGCCTTTTTACTGTGTATTGTCCTTTGATGATTATCTTTTACAATTTATTTTAAAGTCTTCAAGCTCATGTTTCATTTTTACCTTCTTATCACTTTCGCTTTTTACTGTCTGGTTTGCCCTTCATGGCTTGGCCTCCCAATACTGTGCCTCGTGGTTTCGAAGGCTACAGAAACTTGAGGAAAGCAATCGAGAAGAAAGAAGGTTGGAATATTTCCCAGGTTTCTTTTTATTAAAATGTCATTTAAATACTTAGTTGCCATTCACAGGGAAATGTGTTATAGAGTGATGTTGACTGTTGCAGACTAGATAAACTGGGTGCTCCTAAAACTGATGATGGTTTTATAAAAATAACAAAAACACTACAATAGATTTCTTAAAAGTTTTTTTTAAAAGAATAAAACCGTCAGTAGGTACTTTAAAATTCAGACAGTTTCATGTGATCTCAGAATAAACTATCATAATTTTTAACAATGACCTTTTAAAGGCTAAACATGACCCCTCGGAAGCCCATTTGATTTGTTTTTTAAAAAATAAGCAATTCTGTGTCTTTCAGAAACTTGTGAGCGGAGTAGGAATTGACATATTGTTGTAGCACTTGCTAAGTCCTGGGTGGGCCTGTCTCCCCTGTCTTCTTTATGTGGTATAATCTTTATTGAAAACAATGTTAAAATGTCAACAAAGCAAAAGGAAACTGTGGCCTTACTACAGATTAGATTATGAGGCAGTCTTAAGGATAAAATAGGAAAACAATTTCTGCTTTGAAAATGTATTTGAAATCAAAATCAGGATTGTCTCTTTCCACTGGAAACCTGAGGAAAAATTTAGAAGCATATTTATGAACTCTACATAATAAAAATTTGGGATAACTGATTCAGAATTATGATTATTTAACCAAAGATCAAGTGGTATTTTACTTCTTATCAGAACTTTTATTCATAGATCTTCCTAAATAAGTCTCAAGATTATAAAATGATTATGTCAAATGATCCAGTCAAAATGATTAACAAAAATTTTCAAAATAACAATTATTTTAGAAGCTCTACTTCTAAAATTCATCTCGTAAAATAAGAACCTGACATTTTTACTATGCAATTAGTTAATCAAATATCTGACTTTAAATATATCTTAAGGCTTAAAAATATATTTTATTTAAATTATTGTATAATTTACACTCTAACTATATTTTCTACATAATGGAGTATTCTAAAGTTTCCATACTTTTAATAATTGCCAGTCACAGTAGAAGCTAATCAGTATGTTTAGGACGATGTGGTTATTATTGGACCTAACCTAAGGCATTATATTTGTGAAATTTCTTCTGTTTTGAAAGATCAAAATAAGATTCATCATGAAAGTTGTGCTTTGTACCACCTTAAAATATTCAAGTCCTTGGGTGGTGCCTGTGGCTCAGAGGACCAGGGCGCCAACCCATATGCCGGAGGTGGTGGCGGGTTCAAACCCAGCCCCGGCCCAAATGGCAAAAAAGAAAACAAAACATATATATATATATATATATATTCAAGTCCTTTATATGTATTTAGTGAAGAGAGTTTACTTTCAACTTTACGTGATCCTCAAAGGAGGGCCAAAGCAGAGCCGGTCTGGTGGTGCTAGGACATCTAGAACATCTGGTTCTTTTCAAACAGAGATGCCCATACAGCTCTCCGGGGAATCTTACTGACAGGCAGATGCTGATTCAGCAGGGCTGAGGTGGAGCCTGTGCTTCTGTAGATCTAAGAAGTTCCCAGGTGATGCGTATACTTCTAGTGTGTGAATTAACCTTTGAGAGCAACGTTCTAGGATACTGGTCTGGGAGTCAGAACACTTGATTTTATTCCCTTGAATCGATTAATTTCTCCAGGCCACAATTTCTTTTTTGCTTGTCAAATGAAGGGGTTAATTGCTAATGTTCCTTCTAGCTCCCAAGATTCTGATGCTACATGAAGTTCACATTTAAATATCTTCCATTGCTGCCTAGATAGTTATTTTAAGTATCAATTTGCCTCAGTTTATCAAGGAAAATGTGACCATTTGAGGTATAGTAATTCTAAGTATTGACTTGAATTTTCAAAGCTTAAGCCTTAACAGCGTTTTGTAGACGTAAACTAAAAATGTAAAGTCACGACTGCCAATTATTCTGATTCAGATGTGGCATGAACATCTTAATGTACATTAATATATAACTGAAAGACAACATTGTTAAGGTAGATAGATATTAGTGACTTGTGGGGAGCGGGAGGGTGTGTAGAGTTAGGTGTTTGGATAAAGTGTTAGATGGCCATAAACTGGAGTAAAAGGGGATTTGATTGGAGTAAAAGGGGAACTTAAAGTAGCAAAGGAACCAACAATAGTGAAAAGTGGGGCTGCGGCAGTCCCAGGTGAGCCAGGGAGGGGAGGCGAGTCTGGCGGGAGATACCTTGCTCAGGCATTTTCCTTTCCTAGCTAAGCCTTGGGCCTTAACCTCAGGGACAGCACTGTTTGGATGCCTTGTGCTTTTCATGTGACTGGATGAAGTGGGTCTTTCTGTATTTCCAGCTTGAACTGCATAATGGTGGAAAACCAGCAGTCCTAAGTATGTTATAAGCAGCTAAGAGAGGCCTCAGTATGTCACATAAATATATTTCTTACTTATCATACGAATTCTTCCTAGGTGGTTCCTAGTTTTCTTCAAGTTCATTTGTCTCTAACAAAATGATTTCATAACACTTGTGGAATCCTGTTATAGTTTACTTGATTCCTTTCCACTTAAGACTGTGTTGGTGTCCCCCTACTTATACTTCTCACTCCAGAGATAGGCTGAGTTCCACGCATCTTTCTGCATCTTTCAAATCATGACAGTTCACTCCAGCTTAACATGTGCAATGAGACACATAGAAATGTTCAAACAGAGATGCTTCATACATAGTTACAGGGATTGATTTCTTTAACACCATACGTTTATTATGTGCCAGGCCTTAGGTACCAAAATGTAATACTAAGCTAAACAGACCTGACCGCTGCCCTTATGCTGCTTACAGTCTAGTGGGGAAGACTGACACCAAATAATCACATAAATAAACATAAATAACAAACTCTGAAAAGTGCTTACCCGGGAAAAGTATTTATGTTCATATTGTTCCGAGTACATAGTATCTGTGAGAATAGGGACCTAGAGTTAAACATTAAAGTTAAGTAATTATATAGGGACTAATTAGATCATATAAAATAAATCCATGTATTAGAGCAGTTATTTAATATAGCAGAATACATGAAAGAAGCAATAGCTGTTCTTAAGCTCGTTTGATGAAACTTTGAAATGCCTTCTAGGGGAATTTGGAGAATATTGCCTTATTTGAGTATTCTTTTTATTCTTAATGATATAAATGTGTTACTGTAGCTCACATACAAAGAAATCTTTCTCATCTAGATTCGCTTAAAATTCACTTTCTTAGTGTTATTTAGATTGATTAAATGTTTGAGACAAGTGAACAGAAGAGTGGCCTCTACGTGTAGTCGATAATGGTTGCTAACCCCAAAGGGATCAGAGTGGTTTGGATGTGCAAAAACTTTGCCCACTATAGTCCTCCATGTTCTCCCCAGGCCACGGGGGCCGAATTAGTTTATGGGTGACCCTGGCACTAGTGTGTAGTTATGCCTGTAGGTACCAGATAACTGCAGGGGAGGGCCTTCAATTCTATCTTGTTAATCCTATGACTGACCCCGGAATTGCCTATTGAATCAAAAGGCAGCATAAACTTCAGATGGTTTTGTCTGAGAAGATTCTTTCTGTAAGACATAATGAGAAAAAGCCCCGTGCTGTGGGGATAGGAGGAGCCCATGCTCCCCCCAGAAGGAGATCTGAACACGCCAATGGCTAACAGCCAGTGTAGACAAACTTATTGTGGGCATATTTAGTCTAGATTTTTAAATTCACTCTTAAATTTGTTAGGACATCAATGGAAATGTAGTTTTTATGCCTTTGTATGTATATTAGGAAAGTTTTGTGCATTCAGATGAGAAAACAAAAATGTTTGTTTTGATTTACTTTGAATTTAAATTGCTTTATATTCTAATTAACTGGTATGACTGTCACTAATTCTCAGCTTTATCCTTAGATCTCATGCTTCAGGGTATAATATATTCCTCAGCATTTCTAGAGAATAAGCGTTTCTCCAGTGACACAAATCCTTACGCCATTAGTTAAATGTTGAAGTCTGTTTTTCTCTGAAGCATCAGATGGGATTGCTTTGTTCAGTCAAGTGACCAACTTTTAAAGTTTGTCTTCACAAATTGTTGATGGCTTTTAAAAATCTGAGAGGAAAAAGGTGAACAATTTTCTTTTCTACTTTAACACCATACCATTTGGTCTCCTTTTTTTTTTTAGTGTGGCTGGTAAAGAGGATAATACAGACACTGACCAGGAGAAGAAAGAAGAAAAGGGTATTTCAGAAAGAGAAAACAATGAGTTAGAAATAGTAAGTATGGGAAAAAGGAACTTGTAAGTTTTAGCCCCAGGATGAGGTTGTTCTCCGTTGCTGGTAACTGTACTCTCTTGGGTGTAGAGAAGGGAAGTGGCCGATGTCTCCAGTTTCATCTGTGTCCTGGGGGGGCTTCTTTCCCTCAGAAAGATAAAATATTGGCAACTCTAAATCTTATATATTCTGAAAGCATTGTGAGGGAATATTCTCATAGGATACTATGAGAGATGAAATTTGATTTATAACAAAATTATTATATAACTTTAAAATCATGGAATAATTTTTATACTGAGGAAAAGTGAAATTGTTGTGCTTCTGTCTCTCTGAGTGAAGTGATCAGTTTGCTTTGTCAATATTGTCTTATTAATGATCACAAATCACATTTTAGGAAGAGAATCAAGATGTGAGTGATCATGAGGAGGAGGAAGAGGAAGAGGAGGAGGAAGAAAATGACCTGGAAGGGGGTGAAAGCTCTGATGAATCGGATTCTGAATCAGACGAAAAAGGTACTTGCTCTTTAATACAAGGGCAGAAACTCATTTGGGGAAGTGGTTTAAATCATGACAGAAAGCTCTTAACATTCTCCTTTTCAATTATGAATTGGGCTGCAATAAACATTCTAGTACAAATATCTTTGTTGTAGCGTGCTAGGTCATGGAAGAAACCCAAGTGCCCATCGACCCATGAATGGTTCAATAAATTGCGGTATATGTATACTATGGAATACTATGCAGCCATTAAGAAGGACAGAGCCTTTTCCTCCTTCATGTTTACATAGATGGAGCTGGAAAATATTCTTCTTAGCAAAGTATCTCAAGAATGGAAGAAAAAGTATCCACTGTACTCAGCCCTAATATGAAACTAATTTATAGCTTTCATAGGAAAACTATAACCCAATTATAGCCCAAGAATACTGTAGAAGGGGTGAGGGAGGGGGGAGGATGGGTGTAGGGAGGATGATTGGTGGGATCACGTCTGTGGTTTATCTCTTAAGGGTACATGTGAATCTTTCTAAATGAAGAATATAAATGTCTTAACACAATAACTAAGAAAATGACATGAAGGTTATGTTAACCAGCTTGATGAGAATATTTCAAATTGTATATAAAAATAGCACACTGTACCCCATGACAGCATCAATGTACACAGCTATGATCTAATAAAAAAAAAAAGTCAAGAAAATAAAAAAATAAACCAAGCTCTAGCTTTCTGTTAAAAACAAAACAAACAAACAAAAAAAAACATTCTCCATTTCATTCTTAATGAAAGACCTATGTCCACACACTTGCCAGGGCTCATGTGCTAAACCAATGAAGAGTTCCTTCCCTTCTGGGATTCATTCACTGTGCGATTTCCATTATTCTTTAGTACAAATGGTATTTATTGTCTTTGACCAAAGTGGACACTCTTTATGTTGTTCACTTTTTTAGTTTTGTTTTATCCAGGAGATATTTCTAATAGCAGCCAACTGAATAAAAATACCTGGGTATAGATGCTGGTGTCTTAGCTCTTGCTTGAGAGCTATAATTATGGTATTTTGGCCTCTATTGTCAGTATTTTTATTTTCTTCTTTTATAAATAGCTGATTATCAAGCAGACTTAGCAAACATTACCTGTGAAATTGCAATTAAACAAAAGCTGATTGATGAACTAGAAAATAGCCAGAAAAGATTGCAGACGCTGAAAAAACAATATGAGGAGAAGCTAATGATGCTGCAGCATAAAATTCGGGACACTCAACTTGAAAGAGACCAGGTGCTTCAAAACTTAGGTATGAATTATATTTAATTCCAATGAAAGTTCAAACTAAATCATAAAAATGGGTTTTTATCTGCTCTTCCTGTAGAAGAAAAAAAAATAGGAGCCACATTAAATGGTTTTGACCTTTTGAAATTTATTTTTTTTTTTTGTTAGTGAAAGTTTGTGCCTTTTATTTAAAAACCGTATATGGTCTGTAAGGATTTCTGGGTACATTAAATGTTAATTTGTTTCATTATGTTAAATAGTTTATTTTTTTCATGGTGATAATCTATTTAGGCTATTTAATTATTATATCCAAAGTAGTAATTAATTGTTGTAGTGTATTGATTTATTCTGGGGACATTTTTAACTTAAAAAAATAAAGTTTGATAATTATTAAGCAGGTTAAGAACAGATAAGAAAATAGAATTGGCCTCCTGAAGTTTGCATGCTTGGGAAGTAGCTCTTCTCTAAGATTGTGGGTTATAAATCTGTGAAATAAAAAATGTGTGTCTCACAAAACAAATACAAATACTCTTTGGTCATTTAGGTTCAGTGGAATCTTATTCAGAAGAAAAGGCAAAGAAAGTTAGGTCTGAATATGAAAAGAAACTCCAAGCTATGAATAAAGAACTGCAGAGACTTCAGGCAGCTCAAAAAGAGCATGCAAGGTTGCTTAAAAATCAGTCTCAGTATGAAAAGCAATTGAAGAAATTGCAGCAGGATGTGATGGAAATGAAAAAAACAAAGGTATCAATTATGTTTTCCATTAAAGTTTTACATTTAATATGCTTGTGTCATTTGGGACAGAGGCACTATTGTGGTTCTTTCCATATTCCATCAAATGTAACCTGGTTCACAGAGGATGTACTTCCCTTTGCCAGTTCGAGGTTTATTTCCAATAGTCGTCCTTCATCAAAACCTTTCTTCAGAGTAGCTGAAAAACCAGGAGGTTAACAGGGCTTCTTGAACTCTGATGGATATTTCTCCTCTTAAAGCTCTTACACATGGTTAATAAAAGTATAAAATATTTCAAACATACAAACTAGCATAGATAAAGTAATATAACAAATTCCTTATCCACTATTTACTTTAAAATATTAAACATTACAGATATACACTAAGCCTCATTTGTATACTTTCCTGATCAAAATCCCTATTCCCCAAGAGCTAATGACTATCTTAAATTTGATGTTCATCATTCCCGTGCATAGAAAAGTAGGTTTTCTTCCCATTACAAAAGAGCATCCTAATCTATCTGTTTTTGTTGTGGGGTTGACTATTCTTTTTTTTTTTTTTTTTAACAGTCTCACTCTGTTGCCCTGGCTAGAATATAGTGACATCATCATAGCTGTCTGCAACCTCAAATTCCTGGGCTCAAGAGAGTCTTGTGCTTCAGACTCCCAAATAGCTGGGACTACAGGCACCTGCCACCACATCTGGCTAATTTTTGTATCTTTGGTAGTGACAGGGTCTCACTCTTGCTCAGGCTGGTCTAAAACTCCTTAGCTCAAGGGATCCTCCCTCCTTGGCCTCCCAGAGTGCTAGGATAACCCGAGTGAGCCACTATATCCAGCTGATTATTCTTAGCATCTACATGAAAATTAATGCAGTTTCCTTAAAATATCAATCATGGAAGTGATGTAGGAAGTACAATCATGCATTTCTTACTGATGGCCACATGTACTGTTAGGCTATGTCCTTTTCATGCAAAGGAGTGCTTAGAGTGCACTTCTGGAGGGCAGAGCAAGATGGCAGACCAGGAGGATCATTGAGTTGAGGTCTCCTAGAATGACTGGGGAAAAAGGGAGAAACCAACTATACCTTGTGTGAGGACCTTACTTAGAGTCATAGCTCAGGGACTATGGTGAGGAGGTGATGAGCTGGATACAGTGTATGATCCAGAGTGGTGGAAATCTGATGAATTAGGCAAGTAATTGCAACTGGCTGGGATCTGCTGGCTGCTCACAGAAGCCTGAGAGGGGAGGAAGCCTCTCTGGAGTTTTCAGTTGTTTGGGGAACCTGCCCCTTGAGTGGAAAGCTTGGAAGAGTGGGTGGACTTAAATAGTATACAGCACCCAGATTTGAATAGCAGTTGGAGTGGATTTGCCATAGGTTTGGTGACTGAAGAGGCAGCAATACTGAGATGGTCTCAGCCAGGAGGGTGCTTCCATTGTGGGAAGGTCATAAGAAGGTCTTAGCAGGGGCCTAAAGTATAGCCATCTTAATTCTGCCTGCCTAGATCAGAGCTCCACTCTTGGGACAGACTGATGGACTACTTTACCCCACAGGAACTGGAGTCAGGGGGCAGGGTGAGACCTGCCTCGGAAGGATTCTTGTGAGCTTTAATATCCCAACCTAGTAGGGTCTGAAAGCTGAGGAAACAAGCAATCACCAAAGGCAACTAAGTTTGGAATATGAAACATAGAAGTTGCTGGCTGGGTTCTCTGTCTCCTAAAAAAACCATAGCACCACCTGGTGTCCTGGTGGCACATTGTATCATACTGTCATCAAGAGCAAGGACTTCTGTTTGAAAGAAGGGAGGTGGTAAGAAATAAAAAGGAGAACAAGGAAGTGAACAAGAAGAAAAAACACATGAGGAAGAACCAACAGAAAAATTCAGGCAACATGAAAAACTAAAATAGAGGAATGCCCCCAAGGGACCATGAGGCAGCTGCTGCAGAAGACTCCACCCATAAAGAATTAATGGACTTGACAGAAAAGGAATTTAAAATATGGATGATAAAGGCAATAAAAGGAATGGACAAGAAAATGGAAAGACAGAACCAAAAGTAGGACAAAACATATATAGAATATAGAAAGGATAGGGCAGAGCTTAAGGAAATGAAGGAGACAATCAGGGAATGTAAAGATGTCATAGAAAGTATCAAAAATAGGTTAGACCATGGAAAAGAAAGAACCTCAGAGCTAGAGGATAAAGATTTTGAGTTAACCCAAGTCATTAAAGAGGCAGAAAAGAAGAGCAAGAAAGCAGAACAGGCACTTACAGAGTGCACTTTCACAACCTGGGTGGTGCAGGCTACTACACACCTACGCTCTGCTCTTTGGGACCCCCCCCCCCCCCCCGCCCAGTGCTCCAAGGCTGCAGACCTGGACAGGAAGCTACTGTGCTGAATACTGCAGTACAGTGATAAGCATTTTTGTATTTAAACATATCTATACACAGGTAAGGTATAGTAAAAATATGCTATAAAAGATAAAAAATGATGTATCTATCTAGGCATCCCTCATTTTGGAGTGATTTGCTTTATTGTACTTAACAGATACGAGTTTTTTACTAATTGAAAGTTTGTAGACCTTGTGTCAAGCAAGTCTATTGGTACTATTTTTCCAACAGCCTGAGCTCACTTTATGTCTCTGTGTTAGCATTTTTTTTAGCAATGTAGTATTTTTTAATTAAGTTATGTACTATTTTTAGATGTGCTGCACACTTTATAAGGTATAAACATACATAGCTTTTATATGCACTGAGAAGCCAAAAAGTTTGTTTGACTTGCTTTAATGTGATATTCACTTTATTGTGGTGGTCTAAATCGACCTCAGTGTCTCTGGGGTTGGGCCGTGTAGGGCACTTAGCCTGAAGGGAGCTTGCAGAACTGCATGCTGCTCTGGGTGAGTCAGTGATTCAGTCGTAAGTGAAGGTGAAGGCCTACGGTGGTCATTACTATACACTACTGAAGACTTTATAAATATTGTACACGTAGGCTACATTAAAGTTATTAAAAAGTATTTTTCTTTCCTTAATAATAAACTTAGCCTACTGTAATGTTTGTATTTTACAAACTTTAACTTTTTAAATTTTTGACGCTTTCAAAATAACACTTAAAACACATCATATAGCTATAAAAAATAGTTTTTCTTTATATCCTTTTTCCATATTTTTTCCTACTTTAATTTTTTTTTATTTTCTCTTTTTAAATTTTTTTGTTAAAAGCTGAAACACAAACATACACATTAGCCTCAGGCTACACAGGGTCGGGGTCACCAGTATCACCATCTTCCACTTCCACATCTTGTCCTTTGGAAGGTCTTTGGGACTATAACACCCAGGACTGTCATCTCTGATGATAAGATAGCAATGCATTCTTTGGTAATACCTTCTAAAGGACTTGTCTTAAGCTGTTTTATAGTTAGCTTTTTTTTTTTTTAGTAAGTAGAAGGAAAACATCCTAAAATAATCATAAAAACTGTAGCATAGGCTAGGCACGGTGGCTCATGCCTGTAATCCTAGTACTCTGGGAGGCCAAGCTGCAATGATTGCTTAAGCTTGGAGTTTGAGACCAGCCCAACCATGACTGTAGTCTCAGCCACTTAGGAGGCTGAAGCAGGAAGATTGCTTGAGGCCAGGAGTTTGCACTGAGCTGTGAAGATGTACTGTACTTGGAGTGACAGAGCAAAACTTTGTCTCAAAAAAAAAAAGTATAGTATAGTAAATATGTAAATCAGCAAAATAGTTATCATTATCAAGTATTATGTACTATACATAATTGTATACACAACACACTAGTTTTGTTTAAACTAGCATAAAACTAACATGTAATGCTTTGAGCTACAGTGTTACTGTGATAAAGTATCACCAGGCAGTAGGAATTTTTTAGCACCATTATAATCTTATGGGACCATTGTCAGGTATGTGGTTTGTTAATGACTAAAACATCCTTATGCTGCACGTGATGGCAGTTAGAATATTCTGTTGTATAATTCCTGATAACAACAACAGCTAAAATTTGTTAGCTGTTTTATCTGTTCTTGTTATGTGCCAGGCACTGTTATAAATACTGTATCAGTATTAACTCACTATAGTTTCACAAAAATCCAATGTTGTGAAAATATCTCCATTTTATAGGTGAGAACCTCAAAACCTCAGGGGCTGAAGTAACTTGTTCAAGGTCACACAGCTACTGACAGTAAACTAAATATCAAAATTTCACATTATAGAACAACAGAACATTGAATGCAAAAAGCATAGGGCATTTAGCAATTTTGATAAAATATATTAGAAGCAGGGATAGGTGAATCCTGCAAAGATAAGAATGGACTGTTTAAAATGTGCAGCAAACCTCCATGCTTCTGTGTTCAGTATTCAGAATTTTAAGAACTTATGTATATGATTTATTTAATGAATGTTATGATATAGAATTCTAATAGGTATATAAACCTGATTTTTTAGGTTCGCCTAATGAAACAAATGAAAGAAGAACAAGAGAAAGCCAGAATGACGGAGTCTAGAAGGAACAGAGAGATCGCTCAATTGAAAAAGGACCAGCGCAAACGCGATGTGAGTGGGCTGCAGCTCTCGGTTATATAAGAATGTTATACATTGAACAAGATTGTTTGTTAAGTGGAGGAAATGTTTTTGGTAACTGTTAAGTATTAGATGTGGGTCAAGGGCAATAAGCATTAATTTTATAAAACATCATTTATTACCATATGTGGATTATAGTAATTCAATATAAAAAGTTTATGAAAAACACTATAATATTATTAAGTGTATTTGAAAGCTTATTTTCTAAATGATAGAATAAGAAACTGACCTTCTCATAAAACCACATAGAATTATATTTTGGTAAATTTTCTAAAGTTTAAAAATATTTATCAAAATGTATATTCTTTTTGACATGCCAACCCATTTTCTAGAAACGTCTAGAATTTCAAGCATAGGCATACAAAAGATGTCTACATAATCATATTTTTCTCACATAATTGCATATTATATATGTTATCTTTCTATGTTAGCATTGTATATTATACATATTATCTTTATAACCCTATTGGTTACAATTAAGTAAGCAATTGTTAACAATAGTTAATATTTTTTGGGCAAAAAATCACCCCTCATCTTTAGGAAGACCAAGGCACTTGTTGCAGTATTATATAAGAGAGCAATTTTAGTATGGTCCTGAAGACAGTTTTCATCACTAGAGTCTCTTACAAGTATTCCTGGAATAATAACCAGTCCTCACTAGAAGAGGCTTTTCTAAGAACTACACAAGTGTTTATATCCTTTAACTTAAGAATTCTACTTCCACGAATTCAGACTAAGAGAATAATCTAAAATTAGAAAAATTACAATGTGTGAAAATCTTGAACAATGTTATGGTTCTTTTAATTTTGAAAAAATGCAAGTAAGGGAAATGGAAATAAATTATGGTACAGTTCATTAAAAGGGTGGTTATTTATCATTAAAAATTAGGATTTGGAATCTATATGGCTATGTGAAATATGATTATGACTTTTAATTGTAAAGTAGCATTTATTTTTAAACTTTCTATTTGGTGTACAAACATCATCTTCATTATTTAATTTTTTTTAAATATTTTTCTCCAGAGTATTATGGGGGGGGACAGACATTTTGGTTACATAAATTACTTTTGTATAGTTTGAGTCAAAGTTATAATTCTGCCCTTCACCCAGAGAGCATGCACTGTACCCTATAGGAGTGAATTTACCTGTGCCCCTTCTCACCTGCTTGGTTTCTGTTGAGTTTTACCACCTCATGTGCACATGGCTGTTGCTCAGTTAGTTCCCGTTTAATAGTGAGAACATGTGGTGGTTGTTTTTCCATCAATAAGTCAATGCTTGATTACGATGAAGGAAGTTTTTGAAGGATACATTCTAACATGCTTATTGTAATTGTGGTAGGGTTATAGGTTATCATTGATTTATTTTCTTCTTTCCGATTTTCTGACAGTATACTTACTTCTTTACAATAAAAAATTATGATTTCTTTTCTTAAAAGAAAAAAACTATCACTTTCCCCCCTATTATTGGTTAGTTTTCAGCCATTGTTCCTTTTTTCTGACTCAACTTTTTCTAAGTCCTCCCTGGAAAAAAATATGAGCATACAGCATATTTTAGAAATAGAAATCTACATTGGGAGGAAAAGAGAAATCTTAAGATAGAAAGGAGAGAGTAATGAGGTAGGAAAGCAGATTTTTTGACTAGATAACTCTCATATTAATGACTCTATTTATTTCTTCCCCCCCTATAATATCAGTGTTTTTGTTACATTCAGTTTCTGGGCATTTTATATTTTCCTTATGTTCCTAGTAAAATCAAGTAGAAGCATATTCTACTGCATTTTCTATTCTCTTTTTTTCTGCTGTATTAAAAAAAAAGAAAAGGAGATATAGGCTAGTCACAGTAGTTCATATCTGTAATCCTAGCACTTTGGAAGGCCAAGGCAGGATGATCACTTGAGGCCAGGAGTTTGAGACCAGTCTGAGCAACATAGCGAGGTCCTGTCTCTACGAAAAAACCAGAAACATTAGGTAGGCATAGTGGCACAGACCTGTAGTCTTAGCTACTCAGGAGGCTGAGGCAGGAGGATCACTTGAGCCTGGGAGTTTGAGGTTGTAGTGATCAACAATGATGTCCAGGCAACAGAGTAAGACTCTGTCTCAAAAAAAAAAAAAAAAAAAAAAAATTCAGATATAATTTACATGCTATAAAATTTGCCTAAATTGTTCAATGATCACCAGTATGTAATTCCAAAACATTTTCACTACTCCAGAAAGAAACCTTTTATCCATTAGCATTCGTTTTTCATTTTCCATTGCCTGGTGCCTGACAGCCACTAATCTATTTTTTATCTCTATGAATTTGCTGATTCTGGACATTTCATGTAAAAGGAATCATACCATACATGGCCTTTTTTTTTCTTTTTCTTTCTTTCTTTTTTTTTTTTTTTTTTTTTTTTTTGAGACAGAGTATCATTCTGTTCCCTGGGGCTGAATGTCATGTCGTAACTGTCATAACTCACAGTAACCTCAAACTCTTGGACTCAAGTGATCCTCTTGTTCAGCCTCCCACGTAGCTGAGACTACAAGTGCCCGCCACAATGCCTGGCTAGTTTTTCTATTTTTAGTAGAGATGGGCTCTCACTCTTGCTTAGGCTGGTCTCTAACTCCTGAGCTCAAGCAATCCGAGAGTGCTAGGATTACAGGCGTGAGCCACTGTGCCCAGCCCACATGTGGCCTTCATGTACTTGTGTCTGGGTTCATATACTTAGCATACCGATCTCAAGATGTGCCCATATTATAGCGTGTATCAGTACTTTATTCCTTTTTATGGCTATATGGATAGAGCACATTTTGTTCATGTATTCATTAATTGATGCACATTTGGGTTGTTTCCACTTTTTGACTATTTCGTTGTAAATGAAAACTTTGGGATGACAGGAATATTTCTCTACAGTGTGTGCTGCCTATTCCTTTATCACTAATTCTTATGTCATATAAGACATTAATGTTGAACAATTGACTCCTGGAATGGAACTTTTGAATCTTTTCCATATAGTACGATGTCTAAATTTTATTCTAGAGACATGAAATTGGCTAATCTGATACAAAGCTAACATTCAGACTCCCTCTCTCTTTTGTTCATTGCTTTTTGTGTGTATTAATTTGTTTTCTAAACTGTTCCTCATCATTTTCATGTTTGAACCCTTAAAAAATCAAGTGTCATATATGACATATATGACATAGCACACAAAAAAATGAATGAGCTTGAGATTTGGTTTTTAATAGGAAAATGTTTAATGTAGTAACAAGTTTCAAATATGTTAACCTTAGTTTTTGGTATTTCATTCATTTAAAAACATTTATTAATTGTAATTAATCTTATCAATTATTATGGTATGCAATAAGATGGCAGTGAAAAGATAGATTCCTTTTCTCAAAGCATCAAAGAATTCCCATCTGATAGATAGGAATATGTATAAACATGAAATGAATGATCTATTTGAATTTGGGATACAAAACATGGGGGATAATTTGTTATATAACAGAATTTAAGTTTTAGAAGAGATGTTTATAGTGAAATCCAATTAAAGCTGTGCCCAAGATCAAAAAGGAGAATACATGGTAGAATTAGAACTAGGATTATGTCCTTTTTCAGTCCAAAATTCTTTCATAAATTATATCCCTATTGAATGGCTGAAGTAATCCATAATTGGTTTTCCTTATTGTATAGAGTACCTGGGAACACATTAGTAGTCAATACCGACACGGTTCATTGTCATTTATCCAGTATAGTAACATTCCAAAGTTACTATAAAGTGCAAATATGATTAATATTTATTCTCCCTATATTTAAAAGTGCATTGTATATGTTGTGAGATGAATGTTTTGAAAATACTCCTAAGTTGTGTTCTTTCTTGTTTGTGCTTCAGCCAACAACAAAAACCAAATGTCTAACAAAATTAATGAGGCAATACTTGTCAAGCATTTAGAAAACTTCTTGCACAGAGTAACGCTAAATGGGTTTTAAATAAAAGCATGTGGCACAGAGATAACTTATCCTTTATGTGTATCAGTATGTCTGTGTGTTAGAATAAAATACCTGTATCTGTAGCAATAGGCAGACAGAGGGCCGTTAGCTCAGATTCTGCTGAGAACTCTTAGTTCCCAGGGAGATGGCGAAATATGTTAACATGAAAGCAGGAAGTATTGTACCTTGAAACCTTTACTGTTTCAACTCATTCAATCTTATTTTATAGCATCAACTCAGACTTCTGGAAGCCCAAAAAAGAAACCAAGAAGTGGTTCTTCGTCGCAAAACTGAAGAGGTATAGTAAACAAGTTGAACATTTGGAGAAAAGATTCTGACTTTGAGTTAAATGGCATATTTCTATAGAGTGAGTCGACCTCTGTTACTATTTCAGGTTACAGCTCTTCGTCGGCAAGTAAGGCCCATGTCAGATAAAGTGGCCGGGAAAGTCACTCGGAAGCTGAGCTCGTCTGATGTTCCTGTCCAGGACACAGGGTCCACTGCAGCTGCTGTTGAGCCAGGAGCCCAGCCAAAAATGAGAATTCCTGTGGCGAGAGTCCAGGCCTTGCCAGCCTCCACAACAAATGGAACCAGGTCCGCGTAATTCTTTTCCTGCTTTGTGGGCATTAGTACTGAATGTTGCTTACACGAAAAACACCACAGATGAATAAGTCCATACATAATTCTGTTTTTTCTATTTTTATATGATTATAGAAAAAAATATCAGAGGAAAGTGTTGACTGGCCGAATGTTTATTTCCAAGACGGCTCGTATGAAGTGGCAGCTCCTTGAACGCAGGGTCACAGACATCATCATGCAGAAAATGACTATTTCCAACATGGAAGCTGATATGAATAGACTCCTCAAGGTGTGGAAATAGAAAGTAGATGTGTTGTCCCTCAGCTGACTGTTCATCTCCCAGATTTTATCCTCGCATAACTTTAATAGATCTTTTGTATTAACCTGGATTGAGGGGGAACACATTTTTTCTAGTAATGTATCACAAGAATGGAGAAGCAAGAATCCAATGTACTCCGTTCTAATATGAAGCCAATAGATGACTTAATACAAAGGGGGTGGGTGGGGAATAAGGGAGCAGGGAGAGGGGAGGAGGGTGGGGATTGTGGGGTTACAGTGTAAGGCACACCTCTTGGGGGTGGGACCCAATTATAAGAAGGACTTTACCTAACAGATGCAATTAGTTTAACCTAATTCTTTGTACTCTCAGTGAATCTCAAACAATTACAAAAAATACTTAACTAAATTATTAGAAACATCACAGCAACGGGAAGAACTCACAGAGACGAGAAAAACTTTTTTTTTTCTTCACAGCAACGGGAAGAACTCACAAAGAGACGAGAAAAACTTTCAAAAAGAAGGGAGAAGATAGTCAAGGAGAATGGTGAAGGAGATAAAAATGTGGTTAACATCAATGAGGAGATAGAGTCACTAACTGCTAATATCGATTACATCAATGACAGTATTTCTGATTGCCAAGCCAACATCATGCAGATGGAAGAAGCAAAGGTTTGTAATTTTAAAAATGTGTTAAGGCTTTATGTGAAGTATTTTTCTATGTTCATTATTAAAAGTACTTTGAATTTTTATATGAAAGAACTTTCTATTTATTGGTTTAATCTGATTCTTAGGTTTAACGTATATACCACTCCCTGCCTACTCTCTAGATTTTTCTGCCGATTTTGTGATATTATGTATTGTTTAGATAACACATGTATCATTTGTTACATCCTGCCTTGACATTGTAACTGCTTAAATACATCTTATCTTTTCAACTAGACCATATGTTTCCTGGGGTAGAAATTATGTTTTATATTTTTCTGGGCAGTCTCAGTAGCTAACCCAGTACTAGCAAATAAATACTTGAACCAATAGGCTTCTGCCTGCTGTTTAAATACATTGAGCTGAAAGTAATGACCATGATGATGTGTTGGCTTGGTGTAGGAAGAAGGTGAGACATTGGATGTCACCGCCGTCATTAATGCCTGCACCCTTACAGAGGCCCGGTACCTGCTAGATCACTTCCTGTCAATGGGCATCAATAAGGTGAGACCTGTTTTCACGACTTCATAATTGTTTTGTTGATCTTCTTGATTGGAGAGTATCCTTTTACCTGTTTTTAGTGTTCAGAAAAGTAAGATATTTAGAACGATTTCTTTAGCCTGCCTTCTTTTAATGCTTGTTCTAATAGTAGAACAGATAAAGAAGAAATAGTTTTCCTTTGCCTTAACAAAGGAAAAAATCTTAAAAATTTCTTCAGGTGAAAACAAATTTGGTCTCATAACTGGTTTAATACTGAGTCTTTGTAGTTCAAAAGGAATTCAGAAAAGAAAAACTAGTTGTGTGATCCTCCTCTTTTGTATGTAAATGCTCTAATTTATCATTTTTGTGTATAAAAAATTGCTGTCCAGGGCTGGGCCCATGGCTCAAGGAGCAGGGAGCCAGCCCCATATACCAGAGGTGGTGGGTTCAAGTCCGGCCCCAGCCAAAACTGCAAAAAAACAAAAACAGAAAAACCTGCTGTACAAATGTGAAAGGTGACAATGATTTCTGACTCACTTTGTTATTTCTCATCACTTAATCTTCACAATGTACCAGAAGGTAGGGATTATTTATGTCATTTTGCATATGAGGAAACTGAGAATCAGGAAGATACTATCTTGGATAAGATCACAAAGTAAGAGAGGAGTTGGGATGAGTTAAGGTCTACCTGATGTTCAGGTCTATATAGGACGTGCATTTATGATGTGATACAGATTTTTCGGTGGTAGATTCCATTTTGTATGACCTAAGATAAATTTTTGTTTATTGTTGCAGGGTCTTCAAGCTGCCCAGAAAGAGGCTCAAATTAAAGTACTTGAAGGTCGACTCAAACAAACTGAAATAACCAGTGCTACACAAAACCAGCTCTTATTCCATATGTTGAAGGAGAAAGCGGAATTAAATCCTGAACTAGATGCTTTACTTGGCCATGCTTTACAAGGTAATTTGGACTAAATTTTAGTTTAATGAATTGCATGGTAGCTTTGCTCTTTGAACATGCTATCATAGATCTGTTTCCTCTGTGGCTTGACTGAATAGATGCTATATTTACTTACGCTCTTAATAATTATTCCTTCTTTCGTTTGCATGTGTAAATTTTGGGGGAAGTAGTTATTGTCATTCCAAGAAATGATCACCAACTTGAAAAGGCTATTTTTTAACCTTATGAAGCAATTAGCTTTAATGGATAAAGATCAACCAAGTTTCTGAATTGGTTCTTTGAATTACTTAAAAATATTAACTAATTTCCATTGCTTTATTCTGCATATCTAACTGCCTTAAAAATAAATTTATAAGTGTTTGCTATGGCATCTATTCTACATATCTTATAAATGGTACATAATCTTATTTTATGTGGAAGTTCTTAACATTGGATCTGTTTTTGATTGGAGTATTGCTTTTTGTTTCCTTTTTGCTATTATTTACACAGATCTAGATAGCGTACCGTTAGGTAAGTATGTTTAGCTTTCTGTGTACCCTACAGCTGCATGGATTACTAATTGTTCATGTACACTAATTGTGGTACATCTTATTTTTAAAATTTTTATTGGGAGTCAAGTTGTTTTTGCATGATCTTTTTGGAAATGTATTCATGAACACAAACACACTAAGTCTTTTATCTTTATTAAACGTTCCTGATTTTAAGATTCTTCTATGTTGAAAGAAGTATGCTTTAGTTAATTGTCTCTCTTATTTTTTGAACTCCAGTGATTATTTGAACTCTACCTTCATAAACCCTTGATTTGTGTCTTTTCCTTATAAAAAAAAAGTGGAACATATGTTCCTTTTAAACTCTTTAAATGTATCTATTAACTTGCATCTATTGTTTTAACCTCATAAATAACTGTAACTCTCTTTTGCACATATCTTTGGGATGTATTTGTCTTTGGTGTACATTTGCTGCATTCTTATTTATTTTATTTTTGTAAAATTAGGCACACACTTTTCAATAATGTAAATTGAACACAGCTATCCAAAGGGTTGTATCTGAATAGGTTTAAACAATGTTTATAATCACAGCTTAGTATTTTCAGGTTAGGAAGGGCTTGGAGATGTTTGCGTGTGGAGGTCATCAGCCTTTTTCTCAGTCTTTACTGCAGTCACGTAAACTACACCCACCCCTTGGTAATATCTCTGCTTCCTCTTAGGAAGTGATCATCACTCCTCTTAGGGAGTGATGATTCCTATGAGGAACCCAAAGTATTAGGGAAGTTTTATTACCTGGGATTTTTTTTTTTTTTGGTCTGGCTGATTATTTTGGAGCAGTTTTTATATAATTAAAATTATTTTAAATTTTTATTTTTTTCCCTAGTAACACAGCTGTCGAATGTTTTCTGGATGCTCACACTTAGAAAAGTGACCGAAAGATTAAATATAATTCTCTCCCTGTGTCATTAGAATTAATATGTTCCCTCTCTGAATCTGCATTTATTTTAAATGATAAGATGTTATGCAAATAAAATACACAACCCATTTGATTTTTAGGTGTTCACTTGACCTGTTAATATCAAAATATGATTGCCTTGAAATGAACTGCATTACATATTATGGAAAAGCTAATGTTTTAAGCTGCTCAGGACAGGGAAAGGCAGAAGTATGACTGATTAAAAGGAAACTGTCAGGCTGTTGAGGTGCCTAGCATTTGTGAAGCGTTTTTGCCACTCCATGTGTTATCCAGCATGCTTCTTTCCTTCCTGTCTCTGCTGTCTCCCTTTCTTTACCCCATCCTTCCTCCTCCTTTTCCTCTCCCCTTTCTCCAGGCTCCTCCTCCCCCAGGCTCCACCTCCCCCGGCTCCTCCTCCCCCAGGCTCCACCCCCAGGCTCCACCTCCCCAGGCTCCGCCTCCTTTCCTGCTCTTCCTTTTCTTCTTCTTCTTTCTCATACATGAGGCCTACAAACAGGTTGGTGCTCTGGAGCCGCAAGTACATGACATGTGATGACGGGCATAAGGGTAGAGGATATGTCAGGGCCAGCACCCTGTGCTAACAGGGTTGTGTAGACTTGTAGAATTCAGAGAACATCTTTATGTTCCTGTACCTCTTTTAGGGTCCCTAAAGTCACCCCATCTTTGGAGATTTTCTGGAAGACTCATGGGTTTCTCTTAGGATTGTATTCTTGGCTAAGTTTTATGAGCATATTGTTAGAGGTGAGAATTCCCTCTGAGCTGTTCAGTGGACCTGGTTTGGTTCACCTGACAGAAGTAGCAAGTTCAGCTTTGTCAAAGGGAGAGCAAGACACTCTGGGAGTGAAAAATGAGGCAGCTGAGACTCCAATGTGGCATAATAGAAGCAAATGATTCAAAGTGAAGGAAAAGAGAAAAGTAGATAAAGCATAGGCCTTCCAGGAGAGTGAAGGGGGTCCCCCTGGCAAGCGAGAGGAGACGCCACACAAAGGCAACACACCAGCATGAGTACTTTGACCCCAATTCCTCCTCCGTTTATCTGTAAGAATTCCCAGTGGCTCTCCTCAGGCCTGCAGGCTGCCATCCTGATTCCATTGGTTGTGGATTACCTCCGTTGCCACATAAATCCAATTTGCTGTATTCTGTATCAATAGCTATTAACTGTTCTTCAACTGGTGTTGGTGTGGAGTCATCTCTTAGTCTCATGGTATTTGTGGCAAGTATGGGGTACACTGTTCTATGATGAGGATCCTTATCTTTTTTTATGGGGGGGATCATTCATAGGCTAGAGGTCATGGGTCACAAGCTAGAAGTTCTATTTTATGGGAACAGCACATACTTGGTTCACTAGGTCACATCCCTCAAAATTCCTCATTTTGCTTCAGGGCCCTTTCCTACTTTCTTATTCAGAAGGTCATAATTCTCTGCACCTCCCTGTAGCCCCTTTAATGTCCTTTCTTCCCCAATCCAACATGGTAGAGATACATACCTGGATCGTAACGGGAAAAGGCACAGATGAGCACTGGATGAATTCATGTCCAGGCTTTCTCATGCTCTCTCCATCCCAGGAGAGATCACACAGAGTTCACTCTTCTCCCGAGAACAGAAATGCTGCAATATTGTGTGCACTATTTGTGCCCATTAGATACTTAGTGGTCAAGGTTTTTATTGAGGATATCCACATAGGTGCTTTTATGTAGCACCTACCAGAATTCCAGATACCCAGAAAGTAAATAAGCGTTCAGCATAAGGACACACCATAAAGGACATCATATTGTTTGTTAAAACCGTCTAGGTACAGGGAGCCACTCTTTTCTGTATACTAGTTATGTTATTATTATTGTTTTTGAAGAATACCCCTTTAAAAATGTTTATTCTTGCTAAATTCCAATGAAGTGAGACTGTGGGACTTTACACTGATAAGGATAAATTTTAGAGCATTTGGAAGTTCTGTCTCTGCCGTTAAAATTTTAAGGCTGCTGTGATGAGAAAGGAAGCTCACCTTGGGCAAGAGTTATGTTCTCAGATTAGGGAGTATGACAGTGAAGGGGCGGTGTGTCCTGCTGCCCAGATAACCAGAGTGCTTCAGACCAAACTCAGTCCCAAAGAGGGGTCTGACTCGGTGACTGTCTGGGTGGGAGCCTGTGTGTTCTGGCCAGGCTGGTTATGTCAAGATATAATTATCTCTAAATAAAGCATGCATGCATCAGCAAGAGTTATGTGGTTTTTACTAAACACTCATATAGTGTTTAACATTTGGTTTCATCACTCTCTGCAAGAAAAACACTAGCAAATCTCATTTTATACATAGGAAAATAGAGGCTAGCTTTGTCCTTTGTTTAGAAGCTTATTTTCTGGATTACTCATTAATTTGCCAACATGGCACTCAGTTCTCCTGTCTGTTCACTTGTCTGTAAAGCAAGTACTGAGCCTTCCTCTAAAGCACTGGTTTTCAACCTTCCTAATGCTGCAGCCCTTTAATACATTTCCTGTGGGTCGCAACCCACAGGTTGAGAACCACTGCTCTAAAGGGAGGCTTTGAGATACAGACCCCCATTTTCTTTACTTCAGACAGTAAACTTCCTTTGGGCCCTAGACATTTCCATTTTAGGTAATACTGCAAAGCATACCTGAATTTCTATTTCTTTTCTTTCTTTTTTTTTTTTGGATATGAGGTCTTGCTCTGTTGCTTAGGCTGGAGTGCAGTGGTATGATCATAGCTCACCATGAGCTCCAAATCCTAGGCTCGAGTCATCCTCCTGCTTTGTCTTTCCTAGTAGCTGGGACTGCAGGAGCATGCCACCTCGTCTGGCTAATTTTAAAAAATTATTGTAGAGACAGGGTCTCACTGTGTTGTGCAGAGTGGTCTTGAACTCCTGGCCTCAATAGATCCTCCTTTCTCAGCCTCCCAGGGTGCTGGGATTATAGGTGTGAGCCATTGTACTCGGCCTATTCCTGAATTTCTGTCAAGGTGTCTGCCAAATAGTAAGGAAGAAAGGGGACATTAGTGGAGAGGAGTTAGTTGACTTATGTGTCATATCCACCTATGATAACATTAAAAGTTCAAAGGGGATGAATCCTATATATTTTTCTTTAATATACTCATATCTTATTCGTAATCTTGTCTTCAGTTTTGTGGAATTATTTTATAATAAAATGTATACATTTTGAAAGAAATCTGTACCCATTAGAAACCCACTGGCATTTTATTTTTATTTACTTATTTATTTTTTTGAGACAGTCTGACTGTCACCCCTGGTAGAGTGCTGTGGCATCACAGCTCATAGCAACCTCAAACTCTTGGGCTTAATTGATTCTCTTGCCTCAGCTTCCCAAGTAGCTGGGACTACATGCACCCACCATAATCCCTGGGTTGTCATTGTTAGCCAGGCCTGGACTGGATTCGAATCCACCACCAGCTCTGGTGTATGTGGCTGGCACTCTAGCCGCTGAGCTACAGGCACCAAGCCCCCACTGGCATTTTAAGTAGTTTACATTCTAAGCTGTTTGATTTACTGACTTACCATTAGTTTTATGTTTGATTCTCCCTGCCCCTTTTCACTAGCGTGCTACAGTTATCCTGAAATAGCAGTGGTTTATTTGTATTAGTTTACAGTCTTTGCATGCAAACCTATTGTTTTTGTCTTCTGTGTACCTGTGAATGAGCTGCATGCCGATGTGTGATTTCTTCACACACTCTGTCTTTCTCCTTGAAGGCAAAAATAAAAGAAATTTAAGAAGGAAAAATATTTAAGTACATTGTTGTAACTGATAAGTAACAATTATGTTTACACTCACACCACATGTAGTGTTCATGGTTGGTTCAGTACATTAAAGGAAGCTCATGTAATGTTTACTTGAAATTTTTAATTTACTTAAATTTAATCCGTGGGTTTTTGTGTGTCTGGATGGTGAAGGATAAACACATGATTCTGAAATGTGTGAATTTACCCAGATAAATACATGAGCTCATTCCTGTCCTACGGATGTTATTCTTCCACGTTTTACAATCAACTACGTAGTTTTCCTATTTTGAACATATTTTCCTCATCCTAGGATGTACAATCAAAGGAGTTTCTTAGGAATATTTTTCTATAATTCTATCTATTTAGATTATCTGCTAAAACCAAAGTGGCCATATTAAGATACTGAGCTGCTGTTCATTACAGCGTAGGGTTTGCGATCACCAAACTGTGACATGTGGGTAACACTTAGATTTTGGACATTGTTTTTTAGAAAATGTAGAGGATAGTTCTGATGAGGATGCACCGTTAAACAGCCCTGGATCAGAAGGAAGGTAAGAGAGCCTTTAGAAACTTTAAATGGATTTGACTTATTTCTGTGATATTTTTACTACTTTTACCTTGTTATATCAAACAATAAAACATAAAGCAGCAGTAGTTTTTAATTTAATGGCTTAAGTGAACAACACTAGAAACCGTAATACAGACTAACTCACACTTGTCATAAATTTTAAAATAACAATACTGAAATATCTACGAGAGATAAACGAATTATTTTTTAATTAATTCGTTTTGATTCTAAGTATCATCTTTCTGGGTTGCCCACAGGGATATAAATTTTTTTTTGTAGTTGCAAATATAGAGAACATACATATTGTAAATAGGAACTTTTCTGTAATAAGTTACCATTTAATCTTGTGGCTGATTATTTACTTGCGTATAGCACACTGTCTTCAGACCTCATGAAGCTTTGTGGTGAAGTGAAACCCAAGAACAAGGTAAGGAGAACTGAAAATATCAGGTAAACATTTTTCTCTTGTTCTTTGTTATCACTATTAAACACAGGTTTCACATTTGAGTTTTCATAGATGAGCAAGTAGGCATGCTATTTGCAAAAGTCTTTCCTGGGTGAGAAATTTAGTTTTATTTCATATTCCCCTTTAAGTCATAAATAAAAAAAAGATTATATTGAAAATTTCTCCATGGCAGAACTTGGGCTTTATTATATTATTGTACTTTCCCCATTGGATAAGATATAATCATATCTGATATAACTGATTCATAAGCTGCTTATTAACTAAATGCTAGGCCCTATAATTGCATACAATATATATCATTTAGATTGGCAGGAGATTTTTGAAATTTTAGCAGTCTAAGTGTGTTCTTAACTGTTTCTTATTTAACTAGTGTCTTGAGGTGGTGTGATAATAAGCCAGCCCTTAATTATCGAGTGTTAAAATCTTATGAGGTTATAATGCGTATTTGTAGGGTTTTTAAAAAATAATATAAATGATATGTGGCTGTTAATGTGTAAGAGATCCATGGTACATTTAAGACAGTGGTAGCAATGGAATGAATTAACTAAAAATCTTAAAATGTTTGAAAATGGAATTCTTGCAGTGCTTAGTAAATATTGCTGGATGAATGCATTGAATCAGGACCTGAAAAAAATAATACTGTGAAAATAGACAGGATAGATTGAAGGCCCAATGAGTAATTTGGCTGGATGTAAAATAATGTCTAGGTGGTTGTTATGATTACCTGGAGAGTACATACCCCATCCAAAGCAAATAGCCACCATCAAATTTTGCTCATTTTTACCATTTGAGAATATGGGCCTAAGGCTGTCAATTCTCTGTTATTTCAAGAGATGTCTTAAAGATAGGTTTTTTTAAAATGTAGAATTTCCTGATTTTTAAAACACTGGTCAAGGCAATCCAATCAGAAAACATCTCCAGGTTTTTATGTATGTTATCATCTTTGAGTTACTGGATTAGAAACATGTGGTTTGTGTTTTATTATCCTAAGTAACTAGAGGTTGCCAAAAATCAAAGAAAGCATTCTAATATGCTTTGGTTCTCATCCTGAGCAGAGGAATGAACTCTTAAGGTAAACTTCATCTTTGTCAATCATTCCCATCTGGGACAAGGAAGAGAGAGATGTCAAGCGATAATCTAAAAGTCTTCTCCGGAAAAGAATCTCTGTGGTTAGGAATGGCCAAGAGAATGTCCTCTCTGCCCCAGGCTCTTGGCAGTGGAGAGAATTAACAGTGTAAAAATGCACAGCTTTTTCTTTTCAAAATTTTTCTGAAGTGCTCATCTACTACTTCCTTTGAATTGCCAAGATCTCATATCATTTCTTTTGCACTCACTGAAAAATTGAAGTTGATTATGTAATTTAAATAGTTGTGTACTAGCCCAACTGTTAAGTGTGGGGATGGGGCTATAGAGTTAAATAAAATAGAGTACCTGCCCTCTAGAAGTTTATAATCTAGTAAGCCCCCTGATTATTTGGTAATAACTTAGGGTAGTTAGTTGATTTTCAAGACTAAGGACAGGAATGCTTACAGTGAGTTTAGATTCTAGAAAAATAACCTTTCTCACTATGCTGCTTAAAGTCGATACTTGCTGGTGTTGAATTATCCAGTGGGAAGATTAAACACTTATTTAAGGCCATTAAGGGAGAATGGTTACAAAACAAAACAACAAAAAAATTATATTAAAGAAGGCATTTAAGTGTGGGAAAAATCAGTTTAGTTGAGCTTCCCTGCAATTATCTTTTGGGGTCATTTCTTTCTTTTTCTTTTCTTTTTAAAAATTATGTGTTGAGGGAGCTGGCCACAAGTAGCCGGATAGGACAGTCATATTGAGGCAGATTGCCTGGCTTCAAATCTGGCTTGTCACTCACTAGCCGTATGACCGTGGGCAAATCGCTTATCTTCTCTGTGCCTCCGTTTCCTTATTTGTGAATTGAGATAATGATATTGCCTATCTACATGCCAGCGTAATAGATTGTTTAGAAAAAGAACAACGTCTGGCACATAAATACAGTACAAATGTTTGGCCATTATTATAGCTTCTACAGGTCTCATCTGGCTATAGCTCTGGCTTGTCACTATCTTACATGCTATGTTTGACACACTCGCTAGTTAGTAAAAGACACGCTAAGTGTTTGTACCTATTTCAAACTAATATAAATCTCTATTCCCTAATCATCTTCCATGCAAAAGTTTGCTCCTGATTGCTTTTCCTTCCATTCTCTGAATAGGCCCGAAGGAGAACCACCACTCAAATGGAATTGCTGTATGCAGATAGCAGTGAACTAGCTTCAGACACTAGTACAGGAGATGCCTCCTTGCCTGGCCCTCTTACACCTGTTGCAGAAGGGCAAGAGATTGGAATGAATACAGAGACAAGTGGTACTTCTGCTAGGGAAAAAGAGCTCCCTCCCCCATCTGGCTTACCTTCTAAGATAGGCGGCATGTAAGTTTGGCCCAGCTATACTAACTTCTTTTCTTTTGCTTGTTTTTTTTTTTTTTTTTAATACGCATGTTGCTAATTTCTTATTTCTATTTTGAAAAATTTATGTAAGTTAGATCTCTAGTCTTTGAAGTTATTTCTTTCAGGTGTTATCTCCCCTAATTTTTTGGTCAAAATTATTTAAGATGCTCTTTGTTGAATTGCTTTGTCTTATCTCTTAGTTTTAGGATCATTCTTAAGGGATATAATTTTTATGAAAGTTGAGCTATGAATTACAGACAAAATTATTTAAAAATACCCAAATTAAAATTACACCTATTAAATCATTCTATAGTCATTGTGTATAAACAGCTTTAAAGACTCCATTTGCTTTAAGTTTCCAATCTAGTTCTCAGAGCCTCGGCAGGATAGTAGATCTTTGCTGATGGTTCAAAGAAAAAAAAAAAAGAAAGAAATACAAATTTAATACATGTAGAGCTTTTGTAATTCTTCCTAATTCTTTACCTTGAAGCACATCACATATTTGAGCTGAGTGGATGCCCAAAGCATTTTTCCTGGTATTATAAAAAATTTCAAGGAGGAAGTACTCTCTTTTCTATTTATGATGACCTGAACAAAAAACCTTCTATTCAAAACAAATCTTGCTTAGAATTTTTTCATTATTATTTTAAGGACAAAGAAAGATTTCTCCCACATCTCAGTGTGTATGTGTGTACCGTGTGTGTGTAGTGTATGTTTTGATAGTTGTATTGAAAGTAGATCATTTACTGGTGAAGATTTTAAGTGACATTTTTCCAAACTAACCCTTGCATATTATCTAGCAGATTATTTATGAAATGAGTATATCTCTGCATTGAGGCATATTGCCCACCCCCCATGTGGCCTATACCGTATGACTCACAAATAATACAAAATAACAAACTTTCTACCCTTGAATAGCTGTTTTTCATAATAGTCTTCATTTTATGAAGATACTTCTATTGTCTTCAATTGTCTGTCAATCCCATCTGTGACCCTTAGTTCCAAAATAAATTGTAGTGATGACAGAGCTTTCTTGCATGTGCTTGAGGTGGCCTGTGTACTTAACTACTGGATCTGCCAATAGAGATTGCTAACCAGCACAGCTTGCGGCTTCAGTGCTTTTGAGATACAGTCAGAGTGTAGACATGCTTTTGATGAAGGCAGCGATAGAGAATGGAGGACAGATTTGAGGAATTTGCATGTGCTTAGCATTTAGTCTGTCAGATGAGTAGGGACTTTTGGAACATCAAGACTAAATCTATGGCCTGGAACCCAGATTCAGGTAACATCTTCTATTTGCCTTTTTTTATTTAAAAAATGTATCCTTTATGACAAGTTGTAGAAAATATATTTTTGTCTCTGTTTCTTTATATGACTTAGGTTGTCATAAATTCAGATGACTATACTCATAATTTGTAATTCTTTCTAAATAAGAGTTGGTCACATGCTTAGTATAATCACTTTTAAAAGCTTTACTGCACTTCTGTTTCATGAAGTCGACTGATTAACTCAGGTGATCCTTATGATTTACGTGATATAGAATTTTTAAAATGTGACCTTCTCTGATTAGAAAAATCAAGCACACTAAATTTAACTATACTTAGTTTTAACTTTTAAGTAGGAGTCACCTAAATCTTCTGAAAGTTTGCTCATTCCTTCTTTTTTTTTTAATAGCTATAACTACCCAAGAATAGAAGGGATACACCTTTTGTTCAGTTAAAATTTATCACCACCAAACACAAAAATCACAGTCTTGAGTTTTTAGTTGCATAGCAAATCATTCAACATTTTTACTAAAATATATGTAGATACTAATTAGCACTTAAATACTATTTAAATAAAATAATTGTTTATTATTGGTATTTTATGATTACCTGTAGTACTATTTTATAATTAAGTCTAAGTATTAATTCATTAAATCTCATTGTTTCTCATTCTGCTATTCTAATATTTTCGTTCTTGTAAAACTGTAAGGACAGTTTTTCTTCATTTGAAACAATTATCAATGAAACAAAAACATTTATATTTAAAATATCATAGCTTTTTGGCAGTAAGGCATTGATATTTACATTCAAAGGTAATGAGTTTGCACATATTTAATATGATTGCTGATTAAAAAATGTATACTTGTCAAGCTTCCATCACTAAGTCATGGAGTATTTTCCTATCTCAGTTTTATTTTTTGTTCTCAAGGAATAATCTTTACGTTCCATTTGTTAACCTATTAAAATTTTAGATAGAGTATCTACCAAAGTTATATGTACATATTTAAAATCAGATAACTAAAGGGTCTTTTTTTACTTTAGTTCCAGACAGTCATCTCTATCAGAAAAAAAAATACCGGAGCCTTCTCCTGTAACAAGGAGAAAGTCATATGAGAAAGAAAAATCAAAGGCCAAGGAACAAAAACAGTAAGTTACTGATGCCCTACTCAGATGCTAAAGGGTAGCAGTGGAATTGTTTCCCAGATTTAGGCTGGCTGTATGGTGATGTCTGAGTTGACTAATCAGGACAATCAAGTCAACTATTGCCTTGACTGAATGGCTTTCTAATTTTCTTAGTCACACAGATGTCTCCAATTAAGTCAATGTACTGAACATTGTTATTTTTATATATCATGGTAAGAGTTAACATACATTCCCGGCAAGCCTTATTAAATCTATATGTCAAAGAATCTTCTAGAAAAAGTTACATTTAAATTTGAATGTCATCTGATGAAAGTGACATTGACTCTACCTCTTTATAAAGAGTGGCTGACAAAAGCCTGCCATTAATCACAGGGTGTACTGTGTCACTTTCTGGCTCTTGTCTCATGTTGACATTGTGGGTTTTCTCCTCACTTGTTTCTTTTGTCTGTTTTGGGAGTGTTCGTTTACCCAGCAGTCCATAATATGATTTGATGATCCACTTAACCGGGCATTTATAAATTAGAACACCACAGCCTGCACATGTTGAATGGATTAGAGCTGTTGTCACCCTGCCACTCCACCTCGGCTCGGCCAAGCTGCTGCACGCGATAGGTAGATCTTGGCCCTGTCCTTGACAGAGAACTTCTGTGCCAGTCTACAGTTAAATATGAGTGAAGTTAATTTATTTAATTTATGTACATAAAAATAAATATGAAAATAACTGTTCATTAAGTGGACAGTCTTATATCTCCACTTCTTCTGTGCCAAGATGCCCACTCTGTACTTTGACCACTGGTTTAGCTGACTTGAATGTCACAGAGATCACCCTGGTCATCCTTCCTTCCTGTATTTAAAGATCTAATTTGCCTATTTCTGTTGAATCCATTGTGAGACATTGTTGAATCCAATGTCTCAAGAAAAATTGGGAGGGGGAGGAGGATGAAGCAAATAAGTAATTTAAAAATAAATAACTGAAACAATTGAATTTTAAAAAAATGCTCTTAAGCTGTCTGGGTCGGAGCTAAAATTGTGAAATTATAAATTTGACTTGCTTTGATGCTGACTGCACATTTCACCAAGCAGAACCTTTTCTTTAGTGCCATCTTGTGGCCAATGTGACAAAATCCAGTGGAAAAAAATTTAAATTGTTCAGAGTACATTTTATCTTATAAAAAAGGAAGAAAGGAAGGAAGGAAGGAATTCTCTAAAGAAAGCTTTTTGTAAAAGCATGTTTCTTATAACTTTTCTAACAAATCATAACCAATTAAAGCTACCAATTTAATGTTCTTTTTTCTTGTAGCTCAGATTCTGGAACTTCAGAGGCTAGTCTTTCACCTCCTTCCTCCCCACCAAGCCGGCCCCGTAATGAACTGAATGTTTTTAATCGTCTTACTGTTTCTCAGGGAAACACATCAGTTCAGCAGGATAAGTAAGTCATTATGGAAAAGAGCCCCAACTATTTATACGATATTCCGAACCTTTCAATACAGTCTAGAGAGAGCAGCCCCATCTCTGTGTGGGAGATGGAGTCTGACTTGGGAACTCTTGCCATGTTTTATGCATTTTTCCAATGGGAAAGGAGCCATATAACGAAAATTTATAGAAAATTATTTTCCTGCTGAACATTATTCCCTGTTGCAGATTTGTGTTGCTTTGCTTTCAGCATTTGTCTTGCCTTTCTTTTACAAGTGAATCAGAATCGGAAAATCTCTGGAGACCCCTTGTTTCAATTTCCTGGGTCTCTTTACTTTGCATGAGTCCACCAAAGCCTCTAATCCAGGCAGCCTGAGTTGAAAAGAGGCAAATTCGTTTCACCTTTGGTGGCTAGAAAGACCATTGTTATTTGTGTAACACGTTATTAACATTTGATTGTTCTAGACAAATATACCACAGAACTGAAGGCATTGTGTTCTTATAACAAAAGGTCACCTTTATGAATGGAGCGGGGTAGGCCTGGGAGTGTGTTGTGGGGGAGGGGAAGTGGCAGGGACGCGGAAAGTGCAATTTTCATACAATTTGAAGTGAAAAGGTATCTTCACATGAGCCAGAATCTCTCTTGCAAGAATTCAGTACTAACAAATGCTGCCACGAGGTATTTATTAACTGACGTGTCTGCTTGGATTTTGAATGATAACTCTGGGGAGTATGGACTTGCCATCTCTCCTCCCTCACCCTGAGCTTTTCCATGCTGTTATCTCGCTGTATAAAGCCTCTGGAACTTATAGAATACCATTTAGGATCTGGCTGGCATGTTCAGATCATGTTAAATGGCTCTATAAATACAGAGAAAGACACCATTATTTTTAAAAAATTTTTAATTTACTAAATTTACAGATAATTTTTTTTATTCTTTATTGGATTTTAATATAGTTTAATCAGTAGATGACATGTCCTTTAAATTGATCTTGATAGGTGAATGTTTTTGTGTGTTATTAAACAAAAAACCCTTTAATACTGTTAAATCATGTTTTTTTAAAATCAATTTAGAAAAGAAGACTATTAGGAAGTCCATTTTTATTACTTATGTCTTTGGTTTTTTAATATCACAGTTGCTAACTTGTGTCCACCTTGCATTCACAGAACATTTTCTGTCAGTCTTTGATAATATTGACACTCTAATCCTCGCTCATTCCTTTTTGCTGAAATATTTTATGAGCCCCCAATAATTTGACTCTGTTGTCATTTTATAAGCTGAAACTTAAAATAACTAACCTCACTTTCAAAAACGTTTCTAGCTTTTTTATCACTTTCCCTGGGGCTTCTTTTTGAAACCACCACATTTCACTAGTGAGATGTAGGTCCCTTAAATTGTTTCTGTTCACATTCCGAGCCTGTTACACGGTCTAAGTAGATTTTTATAATAACCAGACTCACTCCTAGTCTTGGAAGCTTTAGGATGGGGTTAACAGGAGTAGCTTGCCTAATTCGAAAATCCCTCTAAAGTCTCCCAGCCATTACCGAATGCCGTCTTTCTGAGATAAGTTAAAACCAAGAGTTATTAAATTTTGACTGATTTACTTTCTGTGAAAAAATACAACATGCTTATATCCTGTCAACATTAGAGTCTAAATTTAAAGTAATAATTATCAAGATGAATAAAATTCCTTAATAGTTACTGAAATGGGAGAATTTTTCTAATATTAGTCAAATTAAATAGAGCAAACCTTGAAGTGGAATATTTCATATACTTAGTATTGTTCTTCTAAAGAACTTTAATTTTAGAAGTGAGGATAGGTTAGTAATAGAAAGGTTTTCCTCCAGAGTTTTGGTAGAAAATATGCAGATTGAATTTCTTATATGACTCATCTATACCTTAAACTTGCAGATAATCAGTGCAAACAGAGAAGCAGGCCACTATAAAGGAAATGTTTGCTATATTTCTGTTATTCATGCTGTTGATTTTGAGTCCAAAGTCAGTGTCCTCACCTGTTGACATCTGTATTCCTTCCCCTCATAATTCTAACTCTTCCACTGTAGGTCTGATGAAAGTGACTCCTCTCTGTCGGAGGCACACAGGTACTTTTTTCCTATCTTTCCTATGTTCTGGCATTTCACTGATGTTCTTAAGCGTCTTCCTAGAACTTCTGAGCAAGTCTAATATTTGTTGCATGCCTCACTTGTTTAAATCATGTCAATGCACTAATATTTTTAAACGTATTAATTCTAATACTTTTTGTGATCATACCTCATATATAACATAGTGGTAAACTTTTTTTTTTTGTATAACAGCTTAAAATCACAGTATTTGTTTTCCGTCTATAGTATAAATATTTTCTTTACAAGAAATTAAGTTTTGTGAAGATGGATGTCAAGAAGATTTTTTTCTTCAATAATTATTTCCAGTGCCTCAAAGGGTACGAGGTGGATAAGGTCTTTTTTCTGGTTGGTTTCATAATTTTATTAAAATTAAGTAAAAAAATTATATGAAAAAACAAAAAGTATGCTAGGGGAAAAAAGTATACTATCTTGCTAAGAAAAAATAGAAAGAATAATAATATTATTATTTCTCTTAAATGGAAACAATAATAATCTTTACTGATAGATACAGTTTTAAAAATATCAATGTTGTATTTTTTCGTGTTGGATATTTTGGGAGCCCCCTAATTTCTCTCTCTCTTTTTTTTCTCTCTTTTCATCCCCTCTCACCATTTCATTTTGTCTCCTCTCTCTTTGTGCTTGTTTCTCTTGTTTTATGGCCATTTTTCTGATCAGCAGCAGATCCTCCAGAAGGTAGGCAGGGGGCGGGAGAGCAAACTAATCTCATGCACAGTATTACTTTACTGGTTCGCATGGAGCAAAAAGAAGTGTTTTTCCCCCTTCAGATTAAGTCTGTTGTACAGATTTGCAATATTTAACCTTAAGCTATTAATATTTTGAATAAATTAATTCTAACAGAAAAAGAAGTACTATGGATGTATCTTTCTAACACCTTTATTTTTCTATTATCTTTGGTTATCTATCTAAAATATTAACCCTAATATTCAAAATACTTGAGCATGTTATAAAGTATCTAATAAAATACTACATTTAATATTGAGATTATTTTTCTGCAGAAGCCTGAATAATTAAGGATATTAAAATACATAAGAATGAAAAAGAGCCATCCTCCTGTCCCGGGAATAACCATGCCACACATAACTCGCTGGAGGCAAATACTTACTGAGTCCTTTTATAATATTATAACTGTTGACATGATAGAATTGTATTTGATGTTATATCATCAGGGGAACATTTAACAGATTTGTAGGATAGAGCTGGTAATCTGAAGGAAAGGAATCCTTTGGAAACACAGTATTATATAGCTGCTGTTTAGGTTTTTTTCTTAGGATGATTTGTGTCATTAAACACACATCAAAAACAGCTCTGCTACTATTAACATGTTTATTTATAGTTAGGTTGAGGATATACCTACAAATATATTTTCTCTTTGAGAAGTAACAGTAGCAGCCTGCTGTTCATTAGAAACATACCTTTTCATATTTGAAGCAATATTTGTAAATTTGTTAGCTTTAGTTCATAGCTATGAATCTTATATCAATAAGACTTCAGAATGACAGACTGAGACTTTTTTGGGGGGGTGGCTCCTATTTCAGTTTTAAACTTGTTAAAATGTTAGATTGCAAACACTTACTGAGCATTAGTCTTAAGAATCTAAACTTTTTTTCTTTTTCCTTTTTTTCTTTTCTTGAGACTTAGTCTCACTCTGTCCCCTTGGGGAGAGTGCTGTGGTGCTTCAAATTCTTGGGCTTGCGCAATCCTTTTGCCTCAGCCGCCCCAGTAGCTGGTACTACAGGTAGCCACCATATCGCCTAAATAATTTTTTTTCTGGTTTTTAGTAAAAATGGGGGGTCTCACTTTGCTCAGGCTGGTCTCAAACTCCTGTGCTCAAGCAATCCATATGCCTCAGCCTCCCAGAATGCTGGGATTATAGGCATGAGTCAAGGAAACTGGCCCGGAGAAAACAATTTCTAGTGATGAGAAACTCCTTTTGCTCTTGAAATTATAACATGACCGTAAAAATAAAGGGTTTTTCCCTAAGTCTAAATTTACCTTCTTTAAATCCTGTTCATTTGTCTTTCATCAGCCTTTTTCATCTGTACTAGAATTAATCTAATACCTCTTTGTGTACATATGACAGCCTTTTAAATATTTAGCCCTTTTAAACTTTGCTATTATATCCTCTCTCCAATGAATGTTCTTTTATCAGCTCAAATTCCAATTTTATCTTCTCTTCCTTTCTTATATAATATATAAGAAGAGACGTCACTCTGCTTCTACTGTTTGGAAAGGCTCAAGTTTTTAATGTTCTTAAAATGTGGCAGTAGAACTATATGCCATTCCAAATGTGGCATAGACAGAATACAGCAGGTTTTTTCTTTCTCTTTATTTATTTGCTTCTATTTAGCAAATCATTAATTATATATAGAAGAACCACAAATTGTTTCTCCATTCATCTTGTATTCAGTAAACACAGACCTTTAGTTTTTTATTTTTAATTATTTATTTTTAGTTTATTGTTTATTTAGTTATTTATTTATTTTTTGAGACAAAGTCTCACTCAGTCACCCTGGGATTGCGTGCAGTGGCATCACAGCTCACAGCAATCTCAAACTCTTGGGCTCAAGTGATCCACCTGGCTCAGCCTCCTGAGTAGATGGGATATAGGCACCTGCCATGATACCTGGCTAGGTTTTCTATTTTTTGTAGACACAGGGGTCTTGCTTTACTCAGTCTGGTCTTCAGCTCTGGTGATCCACCTGCCTGGGCCTCCCAGAGGGCTGCAATTTCAAGGCCCCTTTAGTTATTTAAATTTTGGCTACTGTTAAGCTTCAGCCTTACTTTTAGCATTCTTTTCTATCTGTGACTTAAGTAAGTGTTTAAATTTTATCCAGTCATTATGTTGCTGCTAAGCAGGTATATAAAATAAATGAATTTTGTTTCACTGATTATTTCAGGCAATAAAATATAGTATTCATCTCTTTAATTGTCAATTTAATAAGCATGCCATCTCTCTCTATAGGACTAGATACTGAAGATAGTACAGACTGACAGTGACCTTGACTCTTAAGTCGACCTCTTTGACCACCTATGGAGCTGTTTTACAATAACCATTCCATACTTGCCTACTTTGTCCACAAGGGCATCATTTGAAAATCTTATTGCATGGGCTTTCTTGGAGTCAACATATGTATACTGTGCTTATGACACACCCCTAATTTGCTGTCTACTAATCCTACAAGGAACTTCCCCCAGGAAATTTATGAGCCCCTGTTATCTCTTACTGATGAGCATTTATTTTTAAGTGTATCTAAAATAATATTTTTAAAATACTTTTCTCTCTGTGAGACTCAACAAGAAGTTTTAACAATCTGTGATTTCTGAAATCTACTTTTTTTTCTCCTTTTTGGAAAATCAGGTCTACGTGTATTTTTCCTTTTATCGATCTTTGTCATTTCGTAGAGTATTGACAATGATTTTTGCCTCCGCAAAAGCATACACTAACAACACCCTATGATATAAAGATTTAAAAACAGAAATACTTGAACTCATTGACTAAATCTTCATTTTCAGTCCTAACTGATCTCGAGGTCATGTTTCTTCTTAATCACTTCTGCCCCTTGCATCTTAAAGATTATTCTCCTTTATCCAGATGATGGAGACACAGTTTTGCCCTATCCCTGTATCAGTCCTCGTATGACGCCACCTGTCATATATAATGTAATATTTCATCATAACTGTTCTTCCCACTTGATTATCATGTCTTATTTTGTTATCATCTTCAGCCCTCCCAACACAATTATTTCAATTCAGATCCTATTTTAAACTTTTTAAGGATAGGGAAAATGTTTTGATAATCTTCGTATTTCCACAGTGCATAGCCCAGGGGCATAAAATAGAGGAATTAATGAGCATGCTCCCTAAACAGCGTCACTTTTTAATCTTCTTTGAAACTTTTTTCTTTAAAGACTTTTTGATCTTTTTGAGCCATTCACCCTTTAGAATATCTGTTCATATAATCACTCCTAGCTTTTCTTCAATTTTTGAAATCTGGTTTCTCAGTATTTTAGGTGGCGTATATGTTATGCATGGACTTTTTATTTTTTGGACATAGCATTGTACTCCAGCACAAGGTAGCCCTGTCTTCCAGTTATTCATCACTTCTACCCTTTCCTTATTGGTCAGAATTCTGTATGTTCAAACTCCCAGTATCACACTTGGAAAAAGTGAAATTGTGACTAAGGCAGTCCAGATGTATTAGGCAGAGGCTTTGCTTTTTGCAGAATGCAGCTGCTTGGAGATGCCTAATTAGTCCATGTGCTCCATCACTACCATCCCTATTTCATACTTGTCCTCTGCCTTATTGCTTAAAAAGTAGGCAAGAGAGCAGTCTGGATGTTATTGCTAATTGCTTATAGAAACTTCTTAAAGTTGGACAAACTCGTGTCATGGTATTGAAGTGAATCTTGGCTTGTTTATTTTTTTCCCCACCTCAGGGGCATAATCAACCCATTTCCTGCTTCAAAAGGAATCAGAGCGTCTTCCCTACAGTGCGTTCACATCGCTGAAGGGCACACGAAAGCTGTGCTCTGCCTGGATTCTACTGACGATCTCCTCTTCACTGGATCAAAAGGTGCTAGTAATTATCCAATGCAGATGTTCGCAGGATTTTTTTTTTTTTAGATGATTCACAGGCTCTAAAAAATGTCAAACTATTTTTAGACCAGTAAGAATCTGATAACATAGTTCTGCCCTTAGATTTTATATATATATATTATATGTCATATATAATATATATAACCCAGCCCTGGCCAAGAACTGCAAAAAAAATAGAATAGTTTTGTGGTTATGTTTTTGGGTCAAAAATAAAAATAAAATCCATCAATCATTGACCCATGGAAGAGGACGATGTGTGTATGTTTATGAGTGTGGAAAGTGTTGTGAGGAGGTGGGAGTGTGACCACGGCAGAATGTTTTGAAGCAGAAGATAAATTATTTGCATAATTTTTATTGTTAAGAGAACCTAAAGTAGTTCATTTTGATCGTATTTCCTTTCTCTTTTTGCATTTGTTTTAGATCGTACTTGTAAAGTGTGGAATCTAGTGACTGGACAGGAGATAATGTCACTGGGGGGTCATCCCAATAACGTCGTATCTGTAAAATACTGCAACTATACCAGTCTGGTCTTCACTGTATCTACATCTTATATTAAGGTGTGGGATATCAGAGATTCAGCAAAGTGCATTCGAACACTGACGTAAGTAACTTAAATGACATGAGTGAATAGTTCTTTTTATTTTCGTTTTTACAAAATGTAAGAAAAGATAGGACTATAAATGCATTTTAAGTTTTTTCTACCTGTCCACCGCCCAGACGATGTTAAAATGTTCACTATAAAAGCACAGATAAGAAGGGAGTGGAAAAACAAACAAACAAACAAAACACTATTGATAGCAATGGCTCACGCCTGTGCTCAGAGCACTTGGGAGGCCAAGGCGGAAGGATTACCTGAGCTCACATGTTCGAGACCAGCCTGAGCCAAAGTGAGACCTATTTCTAAAAACAGCCGGGCGTTGTAATGAGCGACTATAGTCCCAGCTACTTGGGAGGCTGAAGCAGGAGAATCTCTTGAGCCCAAGAGTTTGATGTTGCTGTGATCTATGACACCACAGCACTCCACCAGGGGCGACAAAGTGAGACTCTGTCTCAAAAAAAAAAAAAAGAAAAAAAAAACTATTGATGAAATAAAATGATAAAATGTAAGTTTGCTGTTAAATAGGAAGAGATAAACCATATTTGATTTGTGACTAAGTACACATTTCATGTGCTCTCCCTCCCATATACAAAGGTATTACATTGTTTGTAGTATTTATTATTTGATGGAATTAAATGATTCATCTTACTTGCTTGAAATGACTACCACTCTTAGAAGTGGCTGAAATTACAATTGTAGGCAGTGAAGAAGTACTTATAACCTTTAATTAACAGGTATTGAATACCTGAGAGGGTTTTATAGAACTGAGATGGCTCTGGTGTTATCACAAATTTCATAACTGCAGGTTATGAAAAATTGGAGAATGAATTTGTTCTTTGTGTCTGTTATCATCTATGCCTTTTCAAAACGTAGAACAAATAATGATTATTTTTGCTGTGAGACGGATGATCTATTTTACATAAACAAAATTGAGGTGAATTCTATAATCATTTAAATGAGAGAAGAAAGCGTCAGAAAAGTTAAGTTTTAGTAATTTGTAGAATGGGGACAGTGGAGATTATTAACTTTTATGTGCTGATTTGTAATTTGAGAACTATTAATTACTCCCTATATTTCCCTCAAGTCTCTCAATGGAAATTTTGTAGAAAAAGAACACTATATTGTAAGTTAGACCTTTACCAGTTCAGCTGAATCACTAAAGTCAAATTTGAAAAGATTTTTTATAAGTTAGTATTTTCGAGGGTAGATAAGAAAATGTTTCAAATGAAAAAAAAATATCATCTAGAATTTATCTGAAGAAATAGAAATAAGCTGTATGTAAGTCTATAGCACATGGTAGATATTTTATCTGTAACAGGGTTAAAGTAAACAAAAACTGCAAATAATTAAAAAGGTCCCCGGTGTCTTTAATCCAAAAAGTCAATTCTCTTACACTAGGAATATTGATGGGACTGGCCCATGGGGGCTTCTGGAAGCTGTAGGAACATGAATTATTTTTGTGGCACTGTATTTATTGACTTCTTTTTTTTTTTTTAGACACCTAATCTTTTCTGAATGATGCTTTAATCATCCCTAACTCAGCCTGAAATTCTTAACATGCTAATAGATGTACAAATTAACGGCTTGGAACCATCTCATCTTGTTTTCTTCATTCATTTACTTACTTATTCGCCAAACATTTGTTGATACGTGCCGAGTCTGTGTGTGTTGTGTGAGGCACTGTGCCGATGGTGGCAGAAGGACTTAGTTCTTATTGTCGCTGACAGCTACGTTCCTAGGAATCCAAGGAACTCTAAGCTGAACTCAAGTCCAGAAATGTGATGTTTTTTGCCTTGTTTTGTATCTGTTAAGGTCTTCAGGTCAAGTTACTCTTGGAGATGCTTGTTCTGCAAGTACCAGCCGGACGGTAGCTATTCCTTCTGGAGAGAACCAGATCAACCAAATCGCCCTGAACCCAACTGGCACTTTCCTCTACGCAGCTTCTGGAAATGCTGTCAGAATGTGGGATCTTAAAAGGTAGAATTTTTAAGTAAATGTACCTCTTCCCTATGGCAAATACCAACCTCAGACATAAGTAACATATTAGAACATATGAAATCTAACTTAGAATTTTAGAGGGTAGCTGAGAAAATGTTTCAAATGAAAAAAAAATTATAACTCCAGAAGTTAATGAAAAACCATAGTCTTTTCTGTTTAGCACGACACCTCTACTAAATATCTCTTATGTCCCCATTAGCAAATTCACAATTTTCTCTTTTCTTTATTTCCATTGCTGGAGAGAAAAAGCATATAGAGGAAAAACTGAAATGAATGATATCCTCTCTTAGTATTTGTTTACAAATTGTGATGTTTGCTAGGATGAGGCCAAGACTCTCACCCTGGTTTCAGCAGTATCTTGAAAGAATTATTTTTGTGGTAACAATTTAAGCATCTTAGATCTCAATTTTTGTAGTTATAAAATCAATGTAATAACTTTGGGCATAAATCCTCACTTTTTTGTGAATATAAAATATACGTAAACTATGAAATATTAAGAAGATAAAATGGAAAAAAATTAAAATGTGAGGCATTACAACACTAAATGATTTTTATTTGCCATGACATATGACCTTTTATCCTTGAGTTGAGTCTTTATTATAGCTTCTTCTCTAGTTCTTAAAATTTTGGCAGCAAGAAAACATTCATTTATTGGTTAATAAGTATTTATTCAATACCAATGATGTCAGGCATTGCACCAACGATGTGGTAGGAACTGGGAATGAAGAGTGACCAAGACAAATATGATATCTACCTTCTTAGAGCCCCTCTGACAATGGAGGATACAGGCCATTGGTCACTGTTGTAAGATTTCCAATGCAGGCATTGTGGGGTGCCTTGCATACAGGAGGGTTTTATCATTGGTAAATCAAATGGGTATTTATTTGAAAAATTAGGGTTGTAATGTGTAATATTTGAAACATGTTAGAGAATGACTGAGAATGTATCACACACATAAATTATAAATAGTTGACAGAGAAAGAGAACAAAATCACAGTCCTGAATACCATATTCGAAATGAAATGTAGAAAATTAAAAATAGTGCTTGTTTACCAAAGTTAGAAAACAGGTGAGGATTTGCTTTATTTTTGAAGTTCTTGACTTGTGGTAGGAACAAAATGGGGGAAGACAGTCAAAATCATGGTAAGACAGGCAAGATACCAGCCTTTGAAAATCTTTACACTTGGCTCAGCTCCGGTAGCATAGTGGTTACCGCACCAGCCACATACACCGAGGCTGGCAGGTTTGAGCCCAGCTCTGGCCAGCTAAACAACAATGGCAACTGCAACAAAAAATAGCCGGGTGTTGTGGCGGGCGCCTGTAGTTCCAGCTATTCAGGTGGCTGAGGCAAGAGAATCTCTTAAGCCCAAGAGTTTGAGGTTGCTGTGAGCTGTGACACCATGGGACTCTACCGAGGGCGACATAATGAAACTGTCTCAAAAAAAACAAAAGAAAAGAAAAGAAAAAAATCTTTACACTTTTTAATCTGCTGAAAAGTTAGATCTTTTGAAACCTTGTCAATTTCAGCAACATAATTAACTATAGATTTGTCTTAAGAAAGTTACCTAAAAGAAGAGTTTTTGAGAAACTGATACACAGTGGTTCTCAACCTTCCTAATGCTGTGCCCCTTTAACACAGTTTCTGTGGGTTGCGACCCACAGATTGAGAACTGCTGCCTTAGAAGCTAAAAACATCTCTATATTCCAGCAGCTTGATATGAGGTAGAACTGTGAAACAAAGGTTCATTGTTACCTTCTGACAATTGACATCACACATTTTTCAAGCAGCTGGATATCTGTCCTGGTCGTTTTCATATCTTTATAATAATACTAAAATGTAATAATTGATGAAATGGTCCATCTATTTTCTGATGTACACAACTCACACACATATGTGTGTGCACAGGTGTAAGTGTAATATATGTGCCATCCTGTGTATATATGATGTGTGTATATGTGTATTTGTGACAATATACGTTGTGTGTGTAATAAAAATAACCTTACCTTCTTGGCATTGTTACTGATTTTGAAGTTATTATCAGTGATACAGTTGGTTTATTCATATTCCAAATTGGGCCCAATAGCATCAGTTCTGTGTCTATCATGTTTGGACATTTAACCTATTAAGATTTATGTGGCCTTAGGTAAGTGGTAAAATTTGCCCTTTTGTTTTTTTTGCTGTTTTTTGTTTACTACCTAAATGGCATTAGTCAGCTTCGGAATAACTTACTTGGGACTCTCCTTGCTTGCATCATAGAGCACGTTTGGCAATTTTTTGACTCTACTTTGAACAGAGTTCCATAGAGGTGGAGCTAAAATGAAAAAGTCTGGCCACAGTGGCCCGTGTTTATAGTCCCAGCTACTTAGGAGGCTGAGCGGGAGGATCACTTGAGCCTGTTGTGTGCGATGATTGTGCCTATGAAGAGCCACCAGTCTCTAGCTTGGGCAACACAGCAAGACACTGCCTTAAAAAAAAAAAAGCAAAAATAAAAGAAATGAAAAAAAAATAGTGAATACTTTATTAAAGAATGTGGATTGTTTGTGTTGAGACGACTTAGTCCCATTATGCTTAAAAAATATTTTCTAACAAAATTATTTCTCTTTCTTTGTAAAGGTTTCAGTCTACTGGAAAGTTAACAGGACACCTAGGGCCTGTTATGTGCCTTACTGTAGATCAGATTTCCAACGGACAAGATCTAATCATCACTGGCTCCAAGGATCATTACATCAAGGTATGTCTAGTCAAGTTTTTGAATTACGTTTGCCAGTTAGCTGATAGATGTGCAATAGTCAGACTCACCTTAATCAGTTTTCTTTATTCTAGCATTTGCCTGTTCTTTCTAATCTTTTCCTCATACATAGCTCCTGATTTTATTATCTTATTATCCGGTCATGTATTCTTATTTCCATGGAAAATAGATTAGAAAGGATTTTAAAGATCTTTTAGCCCAGTCTTGCTAAAAGATACATGCGTCTCATCAAATCTCTTTATTGCCCTCTTTTATCCTGAGAATATTAGGGTCTTCAGAGTTTTATAAAGTTGGCAGATAAGGTGAGAACAGATGCATTGTTTGAGTCTAGAAATGTTATATTAGAGATGCTGACAGAGGACATTCACGTGCAGGTCAGGAGCCATTAGAAATGCAAGTCCAGAAGTCAAGACAAGTTGTCACTAGAGATGTAGGTTTGGGAGCCATTCTCCGAAGAGCAGATGTTCAAGGAGTTAAGAATTGATAAAACATCTAAGGGAGAGAAAAGTTGACTGAGGATTCAGCTTTGAGGTGCACCCTTAAGAACTAGTAGAAATAAAAAGAGGATTCAGTAAGAAAGAATGATGGGAAGAATGTAAGTACTCTTTCTTTTCTTTCTTTTAATTTTCTCTATACACATACATGTGTTTATTTGGTTTCCACTTTCTGCCTTCACAAAATTAAAAAGGCTTAAAATTTAATAACAATAACAATGTTTAAGATAAGGACTAGAAACAAAAACCTCATAAAGAACCAAAGAAGATAAATACATTCAGAAAAGAAATCAGACAATTGCTGCAATGAAATATTGAGCGATAACAATAATAATGATGCAAAAAAAGTAACATTCACATTGTCAGATAAGAGTATGTCTATCATAGAATGCTTTGACTCTGAGGTTCTGTATGGAGTCATCAGTTAACTCCTTCTTTTTTTCCCAGAGTCTCAAAAACCAGACTAATAGTTATAAATAGAAATAAACTAATAAAATTTTAGTTTTTAAAATATTATTTAATAAAAAATAAATATTTATAAATAAAAATAAAAGATAATTTCAAAAGACAGATCATGCCAAATCTTAAAGACAATAGAAAAAGAAGAAATACTACAAAATCATTGTACTTCATCTGGATATGCCTGATATTAAAATTGGAAAAAATATATTATAAAGGGAAATTACAAACATATTTCACTTATAAATGAGGTTGCAAGATCCTAAACAACACATTAACAAGTTGAATTAAAAATTAATGTTCAACCAAAGAATATGAGGAGGGGGAGGGGAAGGGAGAAGGGCAGATGGGTGGAGGGAGGGCGATTGGAAAGATCACCTCTATGGTTTGTCTTACAGGGGTACAAGTGAATCTTTCTAAAAGTAGAGTATCAATGTCTTAACACAATAGCTAAGTAAATGTAATAAAGTCTATGTTAACCATTTTGATGAAAATATATCAAATTGTATATGAAAACACTACACTGTACCCCATGATTGCATTAATGTACACAGCTATCATTTAATAAAAAAAATTTTTTTTGGAAAAAATAATTAATGTTCAAGTAATATACTTTGGTCAACATTAAATCCAATTTATGTGGGAATTAGTCACTATTTTCTTTTCTTTTCCTTACCCTCACTCCCTCCCTCCTTCTCTCTCTGTCTGCCCTCCTCTTCCCCCATGTCCCACCGTGTCATTAATTGTTATTAATTGTCCACATATCAAAGTTGAGTACATAGGATTCATGCTTCTCCATTCCTGTGATGCTTCACTAAGAATAATGTGTTCCACCTCCATCCAGGTTAATACAGATGCTGCAAAATTTCCAATTTTTTAAATGGCTGAATAGGATTCCATGGTATACATATACCACAGCTTGTCAATCCATTCCTGGGTTGAGGGGCATTTAGGCTGTTTCCACATTTTAGCGATTGTAAATTGAGCTGTGATAAACAGTCTAGTACAAATGTCTTTATAATAAAAGTTTTGGGGTTTTTTTCATTCTGGATAGATGACCCATAATGGAATTGCAGGATCAAATGGGAGGTCTAGGTTGAGTTCTTTAAGGTTTCACCATATGTCTTTCCAGAAAGGTTGTATTAGTTTGCAGTCCCTCCAGCAGTGAAAAGTGTTCCTTTCTCTCAACATCCATGCCAGCATCTGCGGTTTTGAGATTTGGTGATATAGGCCATTCTCACTGGGGTTAGATGATACCTCAGGGTGGTTTTAATTTGCAATTCTCTAATAATTAGGGAACATGAGCATTTTTTCATGTGTTTGCTAGCCATTCGTCTGTCTTCTTTAGAGAAGGTTCTATTCATCTCTGTTCCCCATTGATGTATGGGACTGTTGGCTTTTTTCTCTTGGATTAATGTAAGTTCTGTATAGATCCTAGTTATTAAGCTTTTGTCTGATTCAAAATATGCAAATATCCTTTCCCATTGTGTAGGTTGTCTATTTGCTTTGGTTGTTGTCTCCTTGGCCGTACAGAAGCTTTTCAGTTTAATTAAATCCCATTTATTTTTATTTTTGCTGTTGCTATTGCCATGGCAGTCTTCCTCATAAAGTCTTTCCCGAGGCTCATATCTTCTAGTGTTTTTCCTATTCTTTCTTTGAGGATTTTTATCATTTCACGCCTTAAATTTAAGTCCTTTATCCATCTTGAATCAATTTTTGTGATTGGAGAATGGCGCGGGTCCAGTTTCAGTCTTTTACATGTGGATATCCAGTTCTCCCAGCACCATTTATTGAATAGGGAGTCTTTCCTCCAGTGGACATTCTTGTTTGGTTTATCAAAGATTAGGTGGCTGTAAGTTGTTGGTTTCATTTCCTGGTTTTCTATTCGATTCCAAATGTCTATGTCTCTATTTTTATGCCAGTACCATCTTGTCTTTTTAAGTACTCTTTCTAGAAACTGAGTAAGAGATGAGAGATGGGTTAGTGACTTAAAGTTAGAATGATTGAGAGAAGAGAATTTATTATTTAATATTAATATTTTAATTTAATATTAATATTTAATTTAATATTATTATTAGGGGACTTGAACCTATTTATATGCTTAGGAAGTGGGTTTAGTGGAGAGGGAATGAGCAAAGAGCAGAGTGAAGTGGTGGCAAGTGATGAAGGTGGTGGGAGTTAGAATCTGATCATAGCTGTGAACACTAGAAAGAGGTAAGTACACTTTAGCCTCGAGAGAGAAGGGAAGGGTAAGACGGTGTTTGATGATAAAGACAAACTTTTAGAATGAAGGGAGGGTCCCAAAAGTTTATTTTTGATTATACTAACTTTTTTTGGAAAGCAGAAAGTATGTGCTAAGAGAGATGAGGGCAACTGAGGAAAGAGAATAAGTTTTAAACAGAAGCTTTGTGGAATTGGAGATGAACTCCTGGACTGCAGAGTTACCTAATGGTGATTAAATAACAATATATTGTTCATATAGATTTCAACTGGATTGATATGTAGTCATGAAAAAATATGATTGCCTTTCTTAGAATCCTATAGATGTGTCAGCATAGGACATTGCAAGCAAAAGTAATTTGAAATAGGGCTAAGGTTCATCTTTAGTGTCATTCATGCCGTCTTAATTTAATTAACTTAGTAAAATGTACATAGGAACAAATACAAAACAAAACAACAAATAACCAGGTGTGCAGTGTGCACCTGTAGTCCCCACTACTTGCTGAGGTGGGGGCATCAGTTAAGCCTAAGAGTTCAAGGCTATAGTATGCTATGATTACACCTGTCAATAGTCATTGCACTCCAGCCTAGGCAATATAGCAAGACCCCAACTCTTAAAAAAAAGGAAAAAAACAATTAAAAACCCAGTCATTTCTGATTAACACACATGTGCATATGTTTCTATGAATTCACACACACAGGTCTTTATTTGTATGTTAAATGGGACAACTGCTTTGTTTCTGTTTTTTAGATGTTTGATGTAACTGAAGGAGCTCTTGGAACTGTGAGCCCCACTCACAATTTTGAACCTCCTCATTATGATGGCATAGAAGCATTAACCATTCAAGGAGATACCCTATTTAGTGGGTCCAGAGATAATGGAATCAAGAAATGGGACTTAGCTCAAAAAGATCTTCTGCAGGTAATGCAAAACCTCTTCATGAATGGAGCAGCCATTTCAAAACCACTCAGTAGTTTGTGTAAGAACTTGAACAACTTCTATGTAGATTTTTATTCTTTAGGGATATATTAATTAGGGCTTTCTCTTAAAGAATGTTTCTTGGTCAGTTGCCAGAGTCACTAACTGGGAGAAGGGAAACATTCAACATTTATTGATACTTGTTAGATAAGGGCAGAATAGACACTGAAAAGAGCTGAAAAATCTGGAATTGTCCCATGCATATGTTTATTATATAAGATCAGCCTTGGAGTAGGGTAGTTGAAATTTCCCATTTTGTTTTGTTTTGCTTTCTGAACACATTATAAAGAGTACCAAGTTTAGCTGAAGTCAAGAGTAATATAAACGATTCTTCATCCACAAAAGCACTTTCATGCACCCAAGAGTGATGGTTCTCCCATGTCCTACAGAATGATAGTTGGCTTGAAGTGCTATGTCAATAAAGTCGAACATAGGTGTCTTTCTAATTCCCAGGGTAAAAAGTTAGTTAGCAGATCAAATTGTTCTCAGTTTCAAGCTTCTCCATATATATGTACAAGTATGTGTTTGCAACTTATTTTGGTGTGAAAGCGTCAGTTTGGAAGGGTCCCTTAACCTGCTCATTTCTTTTTTTCCCCCTCAGCAAGTTCCAAATGCACATAAGGATTGGGTCTGTGCCCTGGGAGCGGTGCCAGGACACCCCGTTTTGCTCAGTGGCTGCCGAGGGGGCATTTTGAAACTTTGGAACATGGATACTTTTGTGCCGGTTGGAGAGATGAAGGGTCATGACAGTCCTATCAATGCTATCTGTGTTAATTCCACCCACATTTTTACTGCAGCTGAGTAAGTATTCTTATGTAATTTTTCTCTGTTGGTTGTTGCATTCAGGCTTAATAAACACTACATAAAAGCTGTAAAGAACTAGAAACATTATACATATGAAATCTTCTATCGTAGTCCAGCTAATGTCTGTTTTAAGATGTCTTATTTATATTTTCTGATGTATATGGCAGACATTGAGTTTAGGCTCCTTAGATTACCTGACAATACTGTTACCCCTGTATTAGCATTCTGCTTATTAAACAAATCCTGCTTGCCACATCTTTCCTTGGAGATTTTAATTAAAAAAAAAAAATTATAGAAGACTAATTTCCTAAAGGTGTTTATTTTCAGAAAAGCAACAAATTTGCCATTCTTTGTATTTAGAACAAACCATTTTTAAAAAATCTCTGTGTGCTTCTGCCTTCCTTTAAAAGTCTAAGTACACAGGAATCCCTCTGTGTATGCCCTGGGTATTGTTCCAGACTGCTGGGAATAAACAAAACAGCCCAAACCCCCGTTTACAGTCTAATGAGAAGGAATGGAAAATAATAAGTAGAGTATATTCGATGGTGATAGGTGCAATCGTGAAAAATAAAGCAGGGAGAGAGAAGGGGGGTTTCCCGTCAGGGTAAGAAAATAGGGTGGTTGGTAAAGACTTCACCGAGAAAGTGACATTGAATAAGATGCTTGAAAGAGATAGAAAGATGTGATCATGAAAATGACAAAACATGTATGAAAGTAGTATATACTTTGGAAAGGAAAGCTCATATATTATAATGTGAGATGTTGGTGTCATACAAATAAAAACGCAATTTCTTATAAATATCCATCTTCAATATCTCCCTATTTTTGGTGCACTAGTTATTTATTTGAGCACCGCCTTGACTCAGTGTCTCCCAAATGCGTAAACACCTGATTTTATTTTGAAACCGCTGCTTTATTTCTGTGTGATTTCCTATTTGTGCTGCTTCCGTTGAATCTCTCTTTTCATTTAGATTCATTTTCCTTCATCTCTAAGGTACATCAAAGCCAATTTACTTTGTTTTTCTAAGGTACTTATCTCTGATGCTTCACTGATGGTATTTATAAGATGCATTACCTTCTGAAAAGTCACCACTTCTGTTTATTTGCTTTAGTGCATCACTGAGGCCTGGAGATTCGGGTGTGATCTGATTATACTTACCTCCTTTTTATGATATGGTCTCATTTGACCTAAACTTTTTCTCAGTTTATTCAGGGTGCATCAGATGCAAATGTATTTACTGTGTATTTTAAAAATCATAGGAAATTAGCAAATAAAATCAGAAGACTTATTTTAAAATCAATTTGACTCATTTGTTAACTAACAAACATTTATAAAGTGCTTACTGTTTGCGAGGCATTGTAAGTGCTTTGTAGGCATGAACTCAAATAAGTGATTTGGACCTCAAATAAGTGATTTGAGGATCTTAGGTATGTCACAAAAAGTCTTAAAGATCATTAGTTAAATTGTTTTCTAAAGAAGTTCAAAGCACAGTATATATATTCTTTTTTAAAAATCTTTTTCTTGATCAATATAATTTAAATGTGCCATGGAAGTTTAACTATGGGTTCAAGTGTGCTGTGAGATTTAAAAAAAAAAAAGGTTAAGAAACACTGTTCTAGAAGATAAGTATTATTATTACTGTAACCTCTATTTTACAAGTGGGAAAAGTGAGGCATTGTATTTATAAGGTAATTTCATCATATCTGTTATTCTGGATCTGGTGTCATTGATTTATTTTTTTCTTAATTACTGATCACTTTTTTCCTGCTTTTTTTCATGTCAAGTTTTACTGTATTGGATGTTGGACTTTATAATAGTGTTTTTCATCTTGATTTTGCTGTATTTTGTATTCCTTTAAAGAGTGCTGGACTTTGCCAGGCAGTTGAATTACTCATAGTTCAGCTTCATCTTTTTGAGGCTTGTTTTTAAACTTGATCAGCTATGTCTAGAAAGGTTTTTACTCTGGGGTTAGTTACCTCTTCTGCTAAGGTTTAACTCAGATTTCTACTGACTGTCCCGAGTGTTAAGTGGTATTTCTCTAGTAGGCTCATCAGAAATTGAACATCTCCGAGAATTGTTCAATTTATTCCTCCCTGGTAGTTATTTGTTTCATCTTATCTTACAGTCTTACTCTATTCACGTGCAACTTAGCATTCAGTCAAAGACTTTAGGAGGATCCTTTATAGATGAATAGATCTCTCCTCTTTCTACCTGGTCTTAGAAATTCCATCTACTACTGACTTTCTAGATATTGTCTTCTCCCATATCAGTTCAGTGATTCTGTGGTTCTGTGGTTGGGTTCCCCCTGTCTGTGCTGCTATGGAAAATGCTTCTAGGCACAATGCCAGGACCCTCACAGAGTTCATTTTGTTCCCCTTTTCTCAGGGATCACAGTGCTGCACTGCCTGTTGCCTACTGTTTGAAAATAGATGTTCCATACATTTTGTCAAGTTTTCTCTCTCTCTCTCTCTTTTTTTTTTTTTTTTTTTGGAGACAAGAGTTTCACTGTTACCCAAGCTAGAATGCCATGGCATCAGCCTCTATCACAACAACCTCGAACTCCTGGGTTCAAGTGATCCTCCTGCCTCAGCCTCCTAGGATCTACAGCTGCCCTCCATGACACCCAGCTAATTTTTGGAGTTTTAGTAGAAACAGAGTCTCATTTTTGCTCAGGCTAGTCTTCAACTCCTGAGCTCAGGCAATCCTCCCACCTTCTGGAGTGTGAGGAATACAGGTGTGAGCCGCTGCACCTGGCCGAGTTTTCTGGTTTTTAACAGTAGGAGGGTTAACCTGGTATGAGTTCCTCTGTCGTGGCTAGTAGTGGAGATCCAATCTTCTCACACTTAAGGTATTCAAAACTGAACTGATCTTCCTAAAAAACTTGCTCATCCCACAACCTTGGCCATCACAGCTGATGGCTTCTCTGTCTTTTCTGAACTCAGGCCAGACCCTTCATTCTTCCTTTTTTCTTTTACACTCTGTATCTAGTCCATCAAAGGTTCCCCGGTGCTGTTAGGGCTGAGGCCATACTTGACTTGACTTTTTGAACATCTGTTACCTCCCTAGCCTTACCTTCTAGTACCCTGTGGTCTGGCCCTTCTCTTGCAACTGCAATAACCTCTTTGCTGGTTCAAAAATACTAGGCTTGCCCCTCCCTTAGGACATTTGTCCAGCTGCTCCCTTTGCCTGGAATGTTTTGCTGTCAGAGATCCTGACCTTCCACCAAATCTCTCATTGTCTTACAGCGTACCCTGGCCATTTTATTTAAGATTATAATCTTTCCTGCTACCTACTGCCCCCTGCCAGGCTCTACTTCTAAGATACTTGATAGTTTAATCATTTATTCTAGGTTATCATTTATTCTGTCTCTTTTTGCTAGAATATATGGTCTACAATGGTTTTGGTTTTGGTTTTTTGAGACAGAGTCTCATTATGTCGCCCTCAGTAGAGTGCCATGGGGTCACAGCTCACAGCAGCCTCAAACTCTTGGGCTTAAGCTATTCTCTTGCCTTAGCTTCCCAAGTAGCTGGGACTACAGGCACCTGCCACAGTGCCCAGCTACTTTTTTGTTGTAGTTGTCACTGTTGCTTAGCTGGCCTGGGTCCGCCAGCCTTGGTGTATTTGGCCAGTATTGTAACCACTGTGCTACGGGAGCCAAGCCTGGTTTGGGTTTTTTAATCTTACTTTTTAAGTAAGCATCTTACTTTTTAAGTAATCTTACTTTTAAAAGGCAGCATTAGAACCGTGCCTGGCACATAGCAAGTTCTCAACAAACATTTGTTGAGTAAATAATTGAATGGATAAATGGAATGGTCGAATGGGCAGATAAATTAACATATTCCATTGCTGCTGTTAATGTATGTGTGTTGTGTGGGATGGTGAGAAGGCTGATTAAAATCTAGAAAGCCTGGCTTCTGGCAAGCTCTGCCTTTCCCTGTGTAACGGTGGCACACCCTACACTCTTAATTTCCCTTGGAATGGAACACATAACCTCTGAGGGTTTATTAACTATAAGATTCTATAGAAACTCTTCCTTTCCTTTGACTTTGGGTTCATCAGGAAATTGGAAAAAGAAACATTTCCTTTAAGCCATGAGAGGCATGTTGAGAAATCTCGTTGTCTAGGAGCTAGTTCTGGTATCTACCTACTTGCTGGGCGAAAAGAAACAAATTTTCTCAGAAACACTTTTTTCTTAAATTTAAATTTTACTTTAATTGGCAAATAACAATTGTGAATGTCAAAGGCACTTTTAAATCTATGTTCTGTGCTGGGTGGAGTATTAGTCCACTCTCAATAGCTTTTTCTATGTATTGATTTGCTGATACATGCAAAAATAATTCTTCATGACTTTGCCAGATTCACCAGTCCTGCCCCAGCCTCACTATAACCTGCAGGGTGTTGTGCCCAGAGACCTCTGACCCTCTGTCATTTCACTTACTGTTTTTTTAAATGATGAGCACAGATCCAGTGTTTGGGGGCAGGGATTCTGGAGCAAGATTGCCTAGATTCAGATCTCAGCTCTATCACTTACTTTGCTATCTGGGCCTCAGTTTGCTCAGGAATTAAAAAGGGATTGTAGTAGTACCTATCTCTAATGGTAGTTACACGGGATTAAATGTGTTAATGTGTGAAATGAGCACAGGGTAGCAAGCCCAGCACATAGTAAGCCATTGAAGATATGAGTTATTATCATTATTATTATACGTTTGTTATGCTTATAAGACAATGTATATATTTTACTTGCATTTATTAAAGGCCTGTTAAGAAAATCTTTCCATGATAGAAGAATTCTAAGAGCTTTTTTCTCAATTTTTCTGTCCCTGTTCCTAAGTTCATTTTAAATTTATTGTTTTCTAGTGATCGAACTGTGAGAATTTGGAAGGCTCGCAATTTGCAAGATGGTCAAATCTCTGACATGGGAGATCTGGGGGAAGAAATTGCCAGTAATTAAATGTTAATGAAGATAAGTTATAAACTGAATACTGTGATAATACTTGATATGTGCTTTATGGAAAATGTTGTACTGCATTTATTAGGTAAAAACTTATGAATTGGATTAACTGGAAAATATATCTGAGTCCACCTGCTGAATATAAATGGTGTTGTAATAAAATTGTGTGCTATCTCATGTGCTAACTTTAATGTCTATCAATACATATATATCCTATAATCGATAAATTGCTTTATTCGCACTTTTATTGTGGCTGGATTTTTGCACCTAAATATAAAACTTCAAATTATTTGAATTATAAGATGTCTGCTTGTGTGACAGTCAGAAAATACACCTGGACTACAATGCAACCCACTGTTCAATCATTCATAGAGTCTATTCAAGTGATTTATATATTTAAACATATTGGGAATGTTAGTTAAATCGTGTTCTACTTGTCTGGTATTTATATCAGTCTATAGTGAGTTCCCAAGTCTCAAAACTGTTTTAATATAATGGCAAGAAAAGAAGATATGAAAATATTGTTGCTGAGTTTTCATAAAGTGGAATTGACCTTAATCTACTAACAGAAAAGGTTAAACAGTCCGTGTTAAATGTTGGCGTTCACGTGTATTGACCAAAGTTTTGCAGCTGTGCTATTTCCTATGCTCAGGACTAAAACGTTGTTAAATTGTTCTTTTATTAGTGCTGTGCATAAATTCTGTGATGGCAAACACTGTCCATGTCCTAACAGAAATATATTTCGATCTATTTTCCTATGGAGTTGTTTCTATTATCACCATTTAATTTCATTTTTATTTAATAGTAGTATTTCCTTCCATTTTATCTAATTTTTTTATATGCTGCTAAATATATTTTAAATACACTATGTTTGCAAATCTAGGTAGCTAGGATGAGAACTATTATCATCTGTGGTGGGAAAAGTTGTGTAAATAGGTAGATTGTATAGAGAGACTTATCTTGTATTGTGCCTGTATGAATTTTTAAATGCTGTAGATTGAATTTTGCAAAAAGGATGTATGATATTTCTGTCTGCTCAGAATATTAATTTGTAAATTCTGCAAATTTAATGTTGTAGATGGTATAACATTTGAAATTATTGTCTTATGTGATGATGTTCCCCTGAAAATATTTGCTTGTAAATGAACGCTTAGCTAGGGCTTAAATAAACATGTTGGTATGAATTATTTTTATTTCATTGTCCTTTTTCTAAATGTAAGAAAATGGTGAGCAGGGAGAGAGGGCATGAAAGGTGCTTCTGGGGTTCTAGCAATGTTCTATTTTGTGACATGGGCCCTCAAGGTTCCCTAAGCATTCATGCTATCTACACATGTTCAACTGGACATGTATTTCTCCATCCTCTTTTATATATGAGTTCTATGCTTCATAACAAAATATTAAAAAATAATTTTAAGAAAGGGATTTTCCTACTTTGTAGCCTTGCCGCCTTCCCTGAAGGAGGACGCTGTGCCAAGACTGGAGAAAGGCTGTCAGCACTGTTTTGAATTGTCAGTCTAGTTACAGTGTTTCTTTTTGCAGGACTATTTCCCAATAATTCATTAATTGCACAATTAACTTATTCAGTACATGTTTACCAAGCAGACATGGGACCAGGTATTGGGCATGAAAAATAACAAGACTGAGCTGACACTTGCCCTCGGGGTGAGGAGACATAATAAAACCAGCGTGTACATAACAGCCTGGGAAGTATCAGAAAGGGAAGGTGCAGGGTGCCTTTAGAGACTCTAAGCCGGACGTGGAGTGACCTACAGGCCCCAGCACTGTGTTTGCTTATGCAAAATACAAAGCTCAGTGTCTGTTTTACCTCTAAAGTGCTAGAGGCTCCGCTACTGTGGATCCAGGAATCCAAGAGCTGTGTAAAAGAGGCAGTCTTCTAGGAGAATTTACATTTTCAAATATAACCTTAACCTCCAAAGATCCCAGATATGGGAAGGTAAAAATAATTCTTAAAACAGTTGCAAGAGGTGGTACCTATAGCTCAGTGGGTAGGGCACTAGCCACAGACACCAAGGCTGGCAAGTTCAAACCCGGCCGGGGCCAGCTAAAACAACAATGACAACTGCAACAAAAAAAAATAGCTGGGCCTTGTGGCAGGTGCCTGTAGTTCCAGTTACTTGGAGGCGGTGGCAAGAGAATCGCTTAAGCCTAAGAGTTTGAGGTTGCTGTGAGCTGTGACAGTATAGCACTCTACCAAGGGCGACATACTAAGATTCTATCTCAGCAAACAAACAAAGAAAAAAACAGTCGCAATAGTGCCTCTAAAGTTTAGAAATGGATCACTTTTTGCCATGTACGAGATATATGCCATGTCCCCCCTTACACACAGAATAGCCTTTCTTTTTTTGGAGAGGTATATTGCTTTCAAATCCAAGTCTTTGCAATGTAACTAAAGACAGCTGACACAATTTTGCATATTAATTTAGCCATGCCGCACATGTCCACATTTATTTATTTAATTCCCAGCTGATTTGGAGTCTTTTATTTAAATTAAAATCATCACCATGTAACAAGTTGTTCCATGCTGCTATTTGTGTTCTTTTCCTGAGCGTTGCCCATATCTCCATTTAAAATCATTTCCAGTTCTGTTTTCAATCTCAGAATAGGTTGTTCTCTTGTTGTTTTTTTCCCCTGTTGGGGATATGATTTCCAAACTGCTGTGTAGAATATGCTGGTAGTTGGGATTTTGTATTTGCAAAATACAGATATAAAATGTACAGAGTGCTACACAGGAGCATTACAACACAGAAGTAACTATTTCCTAGTTTCTTACCATAAGAAGATACTCAGTTTTAAAATGTAATAGGTGCCATGAATCTCTGCTTTTTTAAATGATGAAAATATTCATCGTAGCTGATGATTACTGGGCATTTACTTCCCCTTTTGCTTGACAGGGCATCCTCTACAATGTGGGTAATTTAAAATGCTATTGATTCTCGGGAGCACCCAATTTAATGTGAAAAGATGGTGTACTTCCCAGAATTAATGAAATAGAGTATTACAGATTGTGGAGTTCTTGCCAAACAGTAAACAGCGGCGAATGCCCACTACATCATACCGCAGATAACACAATTCCAAACCCCTTCTAATATGTTTTCGTGTATTTTAGATTTAGGAAGAGCAAAGACGCATATCTCAGGCCTTATTTCCTTTGTGTCCCACATTTAACTTGGCTTCCACCAAAGTTATAAATCCAGACAAAAGATGAAGGGAGGAGGAAACTGCAGCACAGCGTTTTAGTGGTAGCAATGACGGGGTTCCAGTGGCTGGTTGCTGGCTGTGGGGACTGAGACACCAGACATAGGGGGACCTTTCTGCGGAGACCTGGCTGAGGTGGTGATCTTAAAGTCAGCAGTGGGGGCAGAGGTTCCCTTGTTCCCCATCATCCTGACTGTGGTGGGATTAGTAACAGGTAGACTAGTTCTGGAGGATAACCTAGCACCTGCTCCTCTAGTCCTTTCAAATATTTTGTAAGCACCAATTTCCATATATTAATCCCTTTTTGAGGCTGGTAGGCTCATGCTTATATTCCCAGCACTTTGGGAGGGTGGGTGGATTGCCTGGCTCAGGAGTTCGAGACCCGCCCAAGCTAGAGCGAGACCCCATCTTTACTAAAAGTAGCCAGGCATTGTGGAGGGTGCCTGTAGTCCCAGCTACTTGAAAGGCTGAGGCAAGAGTTTCACTTGAGCCCGGGAGTTTTAGGTTGTGAGCTATGATGTGATGGCACCCTACCCAGGTTGACAAAGTGAGATTCTGTCTCAAAAAAAAAAAAAATCCTTTTGTGTTTAAACCAACTACAGTCGTTTCTGTATTTATAACCAAATGTTTAAAAATATACTATTTCCTTTTATTTGTGACTTGTGTTTTAAGATTTTTTTTCCATTTTTTTAGGTGCAAATTCAATTCTCAAAACGACTATCTTCTTATTAATGTACATTGTCATTTTTCATTGAAAATTGTTGGTTTCAATAAGTTTTGGTTGCCTGGAATCTTTGTCAGTACTATCATATTTATTAAAGGCATTTCCTTCTCCCTCGTATGGCAGTTCTATTTTCCAGAGCCCGCTCTAGTTATTATTATTCTGCTTTGTCTTCCTCCCTGTAGTTGCTGGGTTCCCTTAGGTGTGGCATGCTATCATTGCTGTTATGTTTCTTGCCTACTTATGGTTCTGATTATCCTGGGGTAGTCAGGGAAGGTTGGTGGTGGGGGCACAGTCCAAAGCTCATTCAGGCCCGCTGTTGACAGCAAATCATCGGTCCTCTGTTGACGCACTGGAGGCGGCGGGGGAGGGGGAGGATCTCTCTTCTCTTTCCTATCTACCAATCTGTGGGCGTTAGCCTTCTTGCATAGGTGCTGCTGTCTCAGGTTCTGCTGGGCTTGGAATGTTAGCACGCCCTCCTAGCACAGACGGCATTCAGAGGTGCTGCTCTTCCTTGCGGGCATCCACAGTTCTTCTAACCCTGTTAGAAGGCTTTTCAAGCTTCTGTGCCTGTCTGGTGTTTTACTCAGGAAAGTTGGAGCAGAGAGTATTAGAGATACATTTTCGTGCTTCTTCACTCACTGTAATTATTTAACATCATCAATGAACAATATCCAACAAATAAAACTGGGCGATTGGCCACGTGCAGTGGCTCACGCTTGTAATCCCAGCACTCTGGGAGGCCAAGGATTGCTTGAGCTTAGGAGTCAGAGACCAGTCTGAGCAAGAGTCAGACCCTGTTTCTACTAAAAACAGAAAAAAATGGCTGGGCATTGTGGAAGGTGCCTGTAGTCTCAGCTACTTGGGAGGCTGATATAGGAGGATCGCTTGAACCTGGGACTTTGAGGTTGCTGTGAGCTAGGCTGCTGCCATGACTTTCTAATCTGGACAACAAAGTGAGACTGTGTCAAAAATCAAACAAAAAACTGGGTGATAGGAAGTCTGATTTTAGTTAAGAACACATTCACCTTCATGTACCAGGAACCTGACCAAAATGTTTATTATCCTCTGGGCTTCTAGACAGTTTTTATAATTAGGAGTCTCTGCCAGAGATGGAAAACTAGTGTTGTCTTCCACAAGCCTCCTCAGGAAAGATAGGAAGTGGCTGAGGACCTTAGTAATGAATGCAATTTTCAGCCACTTTGGCCATTAACTGAAGGGTCCCCAAATACCTCCCTTCTACTTGATGAGTGGGTGTCCCATCCCAGCCTGCTGTCCCCTCCTTTTCCCTAGCCCTTCCTCTCCCATCTCTTCCATCACATTTGCTTGCCTTTTCTACTTTTTAGTTTTTGCAAAGAACTGTGTTGATTATTGTCAGGCAACTCCCATGGAGGAAAAACACTTTATGAGAGTTATTCTGATACTTGGGCTGGCAGGGATTTAACCATTTGAGGTAGCTTGGATCAGGACTCTGCAGTTATATGTAGCAGAGACTTCTAATTTCCCCCTTTACCAACCAATCCTCCCTCACTTCCTTTTAGAAGTAGAAGGCTGAGGATTTTAACTGAGCACATGCTCCCTAGCCAGAGATTACATTTCCTACCTGATCTTGCAGTTGAACTTGGGCTTGTGCTACTGTTCTGGCCACAGGATTTAAGTGGAAGTAACGTGCAGCCTCTGGTTCTGGTTTCTAAAAAAAGAAGAGCTTGACCTTTGCTTTCACTTTTCCTCTGTATTGCCTGGAGTGTTAACCACAGGATAGAAGGAACCCCAGTCCTTACGGGGCCTCGTGAAACAGAAATTCCTCCCTGTCCTGCAGGAATTGAACTTGGAAGGTTCGAAATTATTTTTGGTAAAGGGCCAAAGGAGAAATAGTTCAGGCTTTGCAAGCCAGAACTTCCCTATCACACATTCTTGTTTTATATCTGTTTAAATATGTAAAAAAAACTGTTCTCACCCCGGGACTATACAGAAACAGGCCAAATCTGGCCCATATGCTGTAATTTTTTGACCCCTACTCAATTGTTACATGACACAGATAGGAAGTCTGTCTTTTTTGAGCCACTGAATTTTAACATCCTTTATTACGGCAGGCTAAATAATACAGCATAGAGCCATGTAGTTAACGATTTATAAAACAGGACATTCCAGAGGAGGTTTTCTGTGGAGCGGGTATAGATCTGCTATGAACCGTACTCCCAAACATGTAAAGGGTCCTGAGTCCTCAGGAATGTCACACACTCCACA